CCAGGGTTCAGCGACTAAGACTGTGGTCTAAGCCGATTGGATGCTTTGCTAACTATGACTCATCTCAAGACGCACAAGCTAACGCGATCATGAATTCGCTCGAAACGTGATGCAGCCGCATACAGGGCACGGTCCTGGTGCTCAGCGACTGATGTTGTGGCCTTCGATGATTGGATGCTTCATCAATCCCGATGACTAACCAAGACCGGGGCCATCCGCAGAGCCTCATTCCCTACACGTGTTGCTTATATGATATCAACAGAGCGCTTGATGAATTCAATGATCAGTCAAAAAAATGGAAGCCTTGAGCGGAGCAGCGCCGGGGATTGTAATTTACAATCAGCTGGAGACATGCACTCGGGGCCTTCATCGGCTATACAGGAACTTCAAATTTGCAAGAAAGGAGGTCGGACAACTTGTGGAGGAGGTTTCCGCCTGTCAGATACTCTCTGAGATATTTTATGATATAAATCGACCTCTGGATACTAGAGTCGTGAAGCTGGTTCGTGAGAAAAGGCTCGATCACATATTAAAGTCTCAGACCAGTTCAGCGCGCGAGCAAACTGATCACATTAAAGCTCAATTAAAGCCTTTGATAAAGGGTGGCAAGTCGGGTCGCTTAGATCAATTACTAGCAAAGATTTGCTGGCACTTTACCAAACATGAAGGTCAGGCTTTACTGGTTACACTTGGGAGTGTGAAACACACATTGATCCTCCTAACCTGCCTTCTGGCTCTAGACAACTCCCTCGCGAGACTGTCAGAGCCATTGACGGCAAGTCAGAATCATGACTCGCTTGTGAATCAAATGTAAGCCTCTTTAATTACTTGGTTACACTGTTACTTTATCTAAGTTGTGCCCCTAATTTGTAGAGATCACTTGAAGAAGATGGTTCAACGACAGACCAAGACCTTGAAAAACCTGGCCAACAGAATGAGTCAATTAAATCAGCACTTTCAGGAGACAAAGTGGATTTCAAACACAAGGTCAATTGTCGTTATCATCAAACAAATTCAAGAAGAGCCTGTTAAAGCGGCACGGGCAGCTACCGCCCAGAAACCACCGGATACTTCACCCCTTTCGACCCCGACACAGAGGATTCATGATCACACAATGTTGCGAAACTCAACGGTCATAGGATTGAACAACACGCAGTCACCTTATGCGAGCCGATCATCCCACACAATGCCATTACCAAGCGGCCAATTACCAAACCAGGCGAGTGCGACTAATCAAGGGGGGCATCAAAACACGACACAAACCATAATATGTGATTATGGGGACGGTAATAGAGAGTTTTACGAGAGAGGAACTTCACCCTCCATTCAAGAAAATAGCTTAAAGCATCATAGCTTATTCGTGCCGGTACCGCCTTTTGATGTGGTTGATTGGCATACCAGGAGCCGAAGGAAGCGTAGCTCCGGGGAAGAGCATTGATTTATGCACCAAGCAGTTACTATATAGCGATTGGCTGGACCGCAGCAGACCAACACGAACCATTATTCTGCTCATCATGACTCGGGATATCAGCGTACTTGAGACAATGTTTTGCCGTCTAATGAGGGTACCTGGTGTTGCTATTAATCCCTAGGGCTCTTCATCTAACTCCAAGTGCTTCTATTTTGTTAATTTGGTTGTTGATCATGCTTGCATTTTGATTAGATTGGAATGTCCATACGCATAGAATAATTCGCCACGTCCTTGACAAAGTAGGCTATGATCATCCGTCGACGAGCTGATAATCCTAGTGACGCAGCTCGAGTGAGGTAGTCTATTGGTACGACAACAACTCTTTGAGAGACTCTAGGGTTATCCAGGCCGTATTCTTATCCAATGGTAGCCCAGGTGTATGGCTTGACTATTACAGATAGATGATACTACCCTGCTCTTATGAAATGTACTATGTATTTTATGGAATGAGAATATGTTTCATGGATGAACTTTTGATCATCGCGGCAGCTAGTGGAAGTCAAGATTGGTGGCGTAGACTGACACCCTTAGGATAACATTGACATATCGGTACATACCGGATGTACATCTAGCAGTTGGGTACCGTGTACACAGTTAGGTGAACAGTGTTCATGCCCCTAAATCAAAGGCCGATAGACAGGTGTTGATAGATGTAGATAGATATGATTCAGGTCAGGTTCAGGATACCCCTGAATCCCATACGCTACTGCGGCCGACTACTTTGCCGATCGCTTTCAAGATATCAACAGAACGCGAGGTCGACAAATCTACACACATTACACAAATTCCACTGATACTAAGTTACTGAAAGCAACCATGGAGTCGATACACGACGATATAGTGCAAAAAAACCCCGGTTCCTTGGGTCTTCTTTTGCGATGATTCATAATGGCGACGATTTTTCTTCTCCTAGGAATATATTCTGAATGAAATATAGCCCTGCATGAAAAATTCTGCAGATCTTTTTCTTACTATCCCGTGCAAAAGCCAATGTTCAAACTAGGTGGCGTCCACATGGGTGATGACGTAGACTTGATCCCCGGATGATCTGTAAGCTTGTCCCGCCTCACTGATATCCATCCCTAGCTGGAAATTTCTTGTTTCATTTACATAGAATCTCTATCAAAAGTTGGATATTATTCCAGAGCTGCTATCATTTCAAATGAATTACACCACCCGATCTAATCACCAGGTCAGGATGCCTCTGCATAACGGTAACCTGCTGGCCTTATCTCGACCCCAAGATTCTGGGCTCAATTTTCCTCGGCAGGCATACTTTGGAGACGTGAAGACGGTATCGAAAATTTTATTATGAGTATCGAGTACGAATTCAGAATGTTGCAGCTCGAAAGAATCAAAGTAATGGACATGCTCAAGGTGTATGCTGGCGACAAGTCCAATCTCGAGGCCACAGTTCAGCATTTGACCAACGATATCACTCTTGCGACAGAACGAAACAGAGCACCGGATAGGAGAATCGCAGATCTAGAATGCAGACTAGCCGAAAGGAGAGCGACTCCTGATGATATTAATAAGAAAAAATCGAGATACTTAAATTCACTTCCCCGGTTCCGTCCAGCTAATTATGAACTTCTCGGCATCGAGATAGCACTACGTTTGCCCATGTACTGGGGCTGTCGATTGATAGCGGCAAAAATGGGTGACTCTCAATTTGAGTCTCAGATATCCTTCATATGAAAAGCCTCTTTGAATGTAGTACCAGTCGATTTAAATACTGATTCTGTAATCGGCTTGTCTTGTCCACGCACCGGCTTCGTTCTCTTCACAATGTCCTAATGATTATTGAAATGCGTGAATGCCTCCATGAGTTCTTCCATATCAAATATGCTTGTTTCTTCAAGGCCTATTAGACTATCATTGTCCTCTGATGCAGAGCCTTTTTGAGTATCTGGAGGAAAACAGCCAGCACGGGGAGCCTGTATTTCGATCTGGAGTTCCGACTCCTCCTGCCACTTTCTTTTTCATTTGATACAATTGGAACGGGGCTCTTCAATAGAGTGAGCGTCGAAGAGATGGCGACGAAGGCCCAAAGATCCTTTGTAATCCCTTCCCTGACAGCATGGATGCGGACAGATGAAGGTAGCGGAAGCTCCCAATAGCTTGAAATGATTGTCAATGTGATTGAGAAGTGTTGGCTTGACCAGCCATTGCTGAAATCTTTCATCCGGCTCTTTTCCCTTGTTGCACAAGCAGAGTGGGCAAAAGCCAGGGGCAACAAGCGTATACCGGAGCGTCAATATACCACATCGAGAGTGCAGTTCATTCAGATGTGTTTGACAATGGCTCTTCCACTCTCCTTCATCGCAGCAAATATCTGCACAAAAATAGCAAAATTGAACAAAGTTACGCTGTACGCGCCGGTGTGCACGCTTCCCATTGCCATAGCGTTGTTGGTACGGCGGACCACCCAAGGATTGTCTTCGGCACTGCAGGATATGTTTCGCTCGCCTTTGTATTGTAATACTGCGATGGTTAGTATAACCGTATATACGCTAGTAGCAAAAGGTTACCCTAACATAGGCTTAGAGCAAAATGGACAGCAATTATCCACTGGATATAGTCCTGGATAGTATTCCACGCGCACCGTGGATGTACAGAGATTGACCATATCATCCAGGCATTGTCGGCCGGCGATGCTATCCAACGTAGCCACTTTGAAGAGTGCCTCCCTAAGCCTTGCGCGTTCTGGAAGATATCTCTTAATTATTTGAAATAAGGATGTTCTGTCGCACTCTGTAAATTCGTTTCCAGAGATGTATTCGTCATAGGCAGAATCCCACTAATCTTGTATGAAAGTTTTCTTCCAAGCCAGGCGGAGTTTTGATTTCTTGCTACAGAGACTTGTGCGCTCAACATTAAGATCAGGATGTATTAGAAGCTGTCCTGATATTTTAGACGTCAAGAATTTAATTCTCTGATCAATCATCTTGACTACTTATGTGTCCTCAAACGCGGCGATAGAAGCTGCATCCAGTTTCATTGGGACATTGGGTTCTCGACGATGAGCCATACTTTGCTCCATATTGAGGCACTCATAATCTGGCTCTAAGTCATAGACGAGAGCCTGAATGTCCAAAGATTTGAGCACAAATTGTATTTTATGTAAGTATCATGATTTGATGGTCGAGGGCCTGACCGCGGGTAGCTTCCGATGCCTTGGCTTAATGGCATCAGTAATGGTGGTGGGATTGAAGTAGAAATCACTTACGATCAATGCAATTCGCAACATTCGCACGGATTCCATGCACACGAAGCTGATCTTTGAAGCACTCTCGCTGAGCCAAGCTTGTAAAATTATGCCGTAGAGACGAGAAAGTCAATGCTCTTCTGGGAAGAGGGCCATTCGGGGTCACCATCCCAAGAAGGAAAATCCTAATTTGCCCTCATACCATTCAAACATATACGATTCCCTCCATTTCGGTGGTCTTACGGCCAGAACATCTGCCACTGTCCTGAGCCCCTAAAGGCGCCATCGGTAACTCCATGCACTATTACCCAGAACACAAAGTTAAATCCAAGAATCGGGCTTTCCTGAACCAGTTTTTGGGTCTTCAAATAACAGATCAGCCACGAAGGATCGGAAGAGAATTAGGGCCTTACAGATATCTATCGTCTTGATAACGCTTTCCTTTCAGGAATTGAGGATCATTCGTCACTCAAAGCTTTACTTCACCGTCTCCCGAGCTCCACTTTATGTTGAAAGTGAGGTGCTATCAATTTTCCATCAGTTCAGGAATAGTTCTGAATTTGGAAAGGAAAAGGGTAGGTGGGCGGGGTACAAACCATGTAATAAAGACACTCGTTGGTGTCACGATAGTCACTTGACTCCACGACAGCGCCCGCTCTAGAGCCTGAGCCAGCGAAGATCGCAAGAGCGCTGCCAGTTTGAACCCTAGCCCGCTCGTGTCTGTAGTCATACCAGTCATCCCCATATAGTCCACGAAGAAGGTACTCTATATCCTTAGCCGTAACCATTTATCGTTTCCGGGGTTTTTTTTTCTCAACTTTTACTTGACGGTCAGGTCCTGCCTTATGTACTAGAATTGGTCAGTAAATAGTTTAAACAATCAGTTACACGTGCCTCATATTCAGAGCATCTTTCTTGACTGGACCCGATAGGGAGCGAGAAGTTTCTCGCTCCCACCTCGAAGTAAAATTGATGAAGTTTAGACATGCAGATTTCTGCGAGGGCAGTTTTTTTTCTTGTAGCAATGTAATCTTCTGCAAAGGATTTTAAAAGCTGCGGGGTGGGATCGGGCTCCTCTTTGGAGAAGTTGGCGTTGTTCGCTTCGTTAAGAGAAAGTCCCCATCTTTCGTGTATTGATAAGTCTCAATGATCCAAAAGAGTATGAAAAATTACCTACAGTGCCTAATTTAATGCTGTTTCTCGGGGAAAAGAGGGTACCGTTAATCCACCTGGGCGGATTCAAGATCTTGAGAGTAAGGACGTGGTAGGGTATCCATGGGTTGTTGTGATTCGACCTTCTCAAGGCTTCATGGTATCCAGATAAATCAACCAGCCGGGACGCGAAACAACGCGATTATCTGAAAGATAAGCATTCTGGTTCTGATATGGGATTTTGCAGGTGCCATCCGGCAACTGAGAACGAAATTCAGAACCAGCTTTAATTTTTGAAAATCCCGTAGATATGACATGGTGAGAGCTCAGTGAGTGCTCGGTCATTCTCCCTGATTAGTTCCTGATTGTTCACTAATTACTTAGAGGGTGATCAAAAGTTTCTATTGTGTACCTGGTCTAAATTTGGTCTATACTCAAAGTGGTAGTCGACCCTGCTTATCGTTAAATGGTCAACAAAGAGTCGCGTAGTGTCTGGAAGTAAAATCGCTTCCCCGGCTGAAACAGACTCCAAGAACATCTAAGTCTTTTTTTATACTTCATCGAGCACTATTCCATGCGGGGATCTCGGGGAATTGGCTGAGTCTTGATGTTTCTCGTAAATTGGGCTAAAATATCCAAGTGTAACTCCCACTATATCCGGTCGGAACCCGTCCAAGCGCCTGTGCCTGTCAAAAGTACCCGCGGGCCTGGTCCATGCAATTATAAATGGGCACATGAGTGAAGTCAAAAGACTAGCCTCATCACAACGACACCAGGCCGGTCCGGAATGGGCTGGTCCCTGCGCAAATAAAGGATTGAGACCCGTGGGCTTAAAACTCCTCACTCAGTAGTTGAAAATCAAGCGAACCAAATTATATACATGATGGACGTGTATCCTATATACAATAGATTTCTGTCCTTTCAAGGTTGGTGGGTTCTCTCCTTGATGCGGTATGCATATTTTGATGAGCACTTGCAAATTCCGCACTATGAGAAAAAGTGAGAAAAGACTTTGACTGATAATTTTGACTACTGGTTGTCCTCCAGGTAATGATCCATAGTGTGAGGTGCGAACATCAAGACGTCCGTGCTAAGGTTCGTGGTAAAGGCAGAGTGGTTCTGCTAGCGAATTTAAGCCTTCATTCTCGGTATGAATTCCAATTTTTGTTTTCATGTGAATCTTCTCTGTGCTAGTATGTTTACTGGTAGGAAAGGGCGAGACAGGCTGACATTAGTCACCTCCCTGTGTATGCGTAGCGCAAGGCTTCTACTTGATGGATATGGCTCGTTGAATAACCTTGAAACTTGATTCGAAGGGTTTCAGTAACCGACATACCCACTAGACCTGCTGTAGTGAGCCAAAGTGTCAAATATTGGACTGCCAAATGCGAACTATGCTTCTCAATAAGCATTTGTGCGCACTTGAGAAGTCATGAAATCATCATTCACCTCTGTTGTAGTTCAGAGATTTTCATTGTGTTATTGTTCAGAGGGAAACATCAGGCTATATATATACAACGAGGAGAAAAAGTTGATAGGAAGTCAATTTGGTTCTTCGTATAGATATCTCGGGATTAATTCCGATGGTTCAGCTTGGTTCCTGATCTGCACCAGCCTCATATCACAACAGCCTCGTCAATACACCCACAGGTGGGAGGGGTTGGGGCGCTACCTCTTAGCTGGTGGCATGAGTGTCATAGCTCACGCTTTTGGTAATCGGGATTTGCTAACGCCTTGTGGAGGCGTCGGTTTTATCCCGCCGACGTGTCATATTGTATTGCATGAACCGGATTGTTAGCTAGGATGTAGGGGGTGTTCCTGGACAGCCCTGCGCACGGACTGCGAATCCGTGCGCTGCAAATCCTCGTATTCTACCCAATCAAATATTCCATAGCTGATTCGCTCTCCTTCTCAGTGACTGGCTCTTCCATTATTCCTACGCAAAGAAAATTGCATACTGACATACTATTATACGAATTATGTGTAGGGTGGAGGAAACCCTACCTGCGCTGGCGATTCTTGCGGCGTAAGCCGAATTGTTTAAGCGAACTGAAAAGGAAAATGGGCTTTGCGGATTCCCAATATTCAGACATTATGCACACCCACCAAAGGAGTACTCGTCGTAGTCAGATACAAGATAATACCTCAGCCTTATGATCAAGCCTAATTATCCACGACGAGTAGTCCGATGTCACTGATGTTTTGGCCCGTTTGACGTGAACGTTAACGATAACATCGACAGGCACTGCATAGGAGCCTCGCGCTGTGACGCAGGGATCGCCACTGGAGGCTTGAGCTAGTTCTCCGCGAGTCACCGATTCGTCTTGGTGCATGCATAGTTTGCGCCCGCCAGGAAGGATCGACGCCCGGGAAGATATTCCGGCCATTGAAAACCTATCATAAGGTATTTTTGTCGTCTTATCATGGATATAGTCTCAATTTCCAAAGTCTGCTTCATGCATTATCCGAGGCAAGGAGATTGTATAACGGCGCAGAAAATAAGAAAACTTTGACTACTTTGGCAAGGTCGCTGTTGCCATTTGTGCGCGACCAACAGGTGATCCACATTCCAGCCCTGTTACATTCGGCCAACATGAAGGCAGCCTTTGACATACCAAATGGCATGGGATTTTGGTGCAGCGGGAATTTTTTTTCTTGGATTTCTTACTTATTTTCTTTTCAAAAGTCTGCTTTCTGGTTGGCCAAGTCACAGAAACTCCTTTCAAAGTTGCTTCACAGACCGAATAGCTGGGATTTAGCTCTAACTTAACGCTTGTACTTTTTCTATTGGCTCGTAGATGTATCATTTCCTCTCATGCAGTGGTCCTCATGATACGGCTGACGGAATGAACCGTGCTAATGAGAATGTCAGACACAACAGATACAGCCGGCCCTATATATGTCTAGGGTAGATTCCACACCCCAGGTTTTGTCAGATCTGGCAGTCGACACCGCTGTTCCTTTTTGCCTCCTCACTGTCAGCGTATTTGCGGTTATTCTGAGTCTACGGCGGCATTTTTAGCCTGAGAGCTCTCCCATTTTCGCATCCCAGTTTGGAATTTCGCTAGGCTAAGGGTCAACTAAGACAGCTTTGGGCACAATTTTGGTTATAAATAGAAGTGCATAGGACTTTATCTCACGAGATGGTAGCCATTTGTGCTGAATTATAGATTTAAATATGCTAACTGCTAGTCAGGAGAAAGCGAATCTACCCGCGGCCGCAAAATTGAACAAAATGCCATCGACACAATTTTTACTCGTATATCTCGACGAGAATAGAGAAATCCGTCTAGAATCTTCTGGGCCAATCGCGGATAGCTGCCACACGGTACTATCCATGAAGGTGATTGATGCATTTCTGAGAGCTGGTCAGATGTCTAGAGAAGTCTGCATCCCCAACCACCAAGGTAGTTATCACTATCATCCTAGCAATGATCTTAATTGATGATAATTAGCAGTCGAGACCAGCGTAACACTTGCCCCTTGTCAAAAAGAGCCAGACACAGAGAAAGGTTTTTCTCATCCATCGATATCCATCCAGATGCATTCTGGAGGCACCAAGCTTGCGAATAATCGGCTCATGAGACAGCCTATCACCGAGGCTGCTAATTTTCAGCCTGCCTACAATGAGCCGTCACCATTTTTCCCCAGTGAAACTTCCGAATATAAATGGCAGGGTTTTTCCAACGAAACATACAAGTCTATGGGCGACAAGAAAGCCGCGATATCAGTCAAGAACCATGATCTCTTGGCCCTTTATTATGAAAAGGCCTTCGAGAATATCCAGCAGACCAATTGCCGGACTCTAGCTAAAGCCTATGTCAAGCTTGTAGAGCCTCAGAAACAGGTGAATTACCCATACAATGGACGTAAGGTCATCGCAGGTACTAAAAGACAACTTGATCCTAATGAGACTAAACCACCGTGGTGGCCCTCGAGAGTCACCCATCGGGAGCCAGATCACCTTCCTAAATTTGGTAAGCCCATTATCATAATGTAGATGTTAAGGTAGCTAACCTGACAAAGAACGCATCCAGCTTCTAGTTCATATTCTTTGTGAGCTGCGCACCAGCCACGGGATTTCGGTTGCAAAACTTAGAGAAGCCGATCAGCAAGTTCGCCATCACATTAATCCACCTGAACGATTGCACATCCTGGACGAGTTATATCGAGTCAGGCAACAAGAGGAAGGGTTATTAGACGGACACAATGGTAGGCTTTATGGCATATCCTTCAATAACGAGCTGTTTTAACAATTACATTCCTCTGCAGACGAGCAAACGACGGCTTGGATCTCCCACGCAAATTTTCCTGGGTCTTTAGAGGCTCCTAGCCAGACAAGCAATACTTTCAACAGCGGCCCTATCCACACTATTTTCACTCGAGATAGAAAGACGCTGGACCACTCAGCATCACCATGGAGCAATCATGCCCTCGGAAACAAAATTGTCAAAGATGATAAGAAACATATGATCTCGTTAAAAGCCGGTTCTGAATATGGCTCTTCGGTTGCCGCTCGACCTTTGAAGAGGAGACTCAAGGTTGCAGAGGTCCACTCAGCAGCTCGGCCAAAGAGCTCTCTTCTTCCTACGCCCTATCCCCTTCCTCCTACTGTTACCGAGCAATTATCTCTTGTCGACTACTATGACCCGGCTTTTCTGATCCAGACTCTCAAGCTTCCAGAACTCAGCCAATCGAAAACCAGCATGCCAAATCAATCATTGCAGCATCAGGAAACGTGCGACATCTATCTCCAGAATCCCACCTTCGACACCTCAGCCCAATACTGGCCAATGCTGGATCCAATCTGCCATCTCACCCCCAACATTGGTTTACCACAATCCCAACCACTTGCCCCAGATCCACATTTTAATATGTGGTTTCCCCCGATGTGGATTGATGGCATGACTGCTCCTGGAACATCAGCCTGTTCACTCCCAAATCCAATAACACCGAAAGCTGAAGCGGCTTATGTCCCGACTCGGAGTTTTTAGCTTAGCCTGATGCAGAAATTTCAAGGCATTCGTGGTCCTCAGTATTATCTATAACGGATCGAGCTTTCGACTTGGATTCTGTATGAGATCGAAGACAGTATCTTCTCTTTTGCGCTCTTCTGGCTTCCCTCTCCTGTACTTGGCCTCTTTTCGTCATTGCTGTTTTGTCTTCTATCATATTTATTCCCAATAAATGTCGGCGTGAGCAAGCATTCAAGATTTGCAGGATCTGTCATAGTTCGTCTGATCCACTTGCCTCATATATTAGGGTTGGATTCTTCGTGTGAGATAACACGCTACGTGCCGTACTCAAAGGTACTTGTCATCCAATTCTCCATATTGGTTAAGATCACGTAAACGCTTGGTGGTGCCATTAGTCAGCGGTTGGTGCGACAGCTTGGATGAGAATGTAAGAGATTTTTTTCATGATGATGGAGTTGCCTGGTTGAGTGATTGAAGGAGACTTCAATCGACTTCCTGGTCGGACGGGAAGTGTGATAGTTTCTTGTTTGTGGCCATCATGTCAGCGCTGTCGTTTAGTCGGGTCTCTCTCTCTCGTACTATTTTATTTCTTGGCGTGCATGGCTGTTGGGTCTCCATGTAAATTAGAGATCTTGTGTATGAATTATCACGGACAACCTCGGTATATCGCATCCAATGGTCCGAATATCGCAATTTCAGTACTTTCAATGTCAATGGAAGGCAGCTCCAGGTAGCATCACATACCCGAGATCCTTTGTTGCATCTTTGCTTACTCGGGCTGGTATTCAGGCTCAGAAAGCTTCACGCCACGATGCAAAAACTTCTTCACGGTCTTTCGTATCTGATCCCTGGTACCAACGGCCGCCGAAATTAGATAGAAATTAGTATATGTGAAGCTGAAGCCGGACTAAAGTAGGACCACGTACCCATCACCAGGGTCCTGCCTTGTTCATCACGAATGTTCGGTATCCTCTCGATCTGGTCTCCCGCAGCCTCGACCGAGACTACGCTGAGATATTCGGGTACACCTTGGTAAAAGCAAGCTCTTTCATGTTTTCCTATTGGCGTCGTATCATGTGCAAGCCCCTTTTCAACATGGATTGAGATGCTAAGGAATCTGCATTTATATTTCCGTCGGTACAAATATTGTTTCCAATTTGAAGACGAAGACATACATAGAATTTATCTATAATATTGTCCTCTAGGGCACCGAGCAGATTCTCGGCTACACTGACCAATTTTGACTTGTTAGTGTACCGGTTGACTAGGATGCGGGAGCGGAAGGATCTTCTCACCGATTGATTCTATCTGCCATACCAAATGCAGCCGGCGGACCTGGAGAGTACACGTATCATAGCCATGTATCATCTTCTTCAGATAGGGGATTGTTGCAGCGATCCCGAAACCACTTGCAATCAGTAGCACGGTTTCAAACCCGTCAACAATCTCACTAGTACCGTGTGGACCTGTGAACATGGCCAGAAATGGTACAGGACAGCCAGGAGCGCCAGCGGCAAGACTCACTAAGTCTGATGTCATGCCACCGCGTGGCTGCACAAATAGCTCAATCGTATCATGTCTTCCGCGCGACCACGATGTAACTATGAAAGGGTGCGTTTGAAGCCACGACAAAGATCCGACGGACGGCATCCACAGGTTGATATACTGGCCCGCATCGATCTTGATAGATCTGGGCAGAACCAGACGAATGTGGGCCGCTTTTCTTAGCTTAGGATATGTCAGAGATCCTTCTGGGGTGAAGGATACAAAGGCCCGCGGAGCACCGTTGCCCGAAAATAGCCCGTTCGTGTAACATAAGTTGACAACCTCCAGGATTGTAGTCAGGGCCAAAATTACCAGCGGCACGTAAAGGTACAGTCTTGGCAAGCGACTTTGGTCTGGAAGATGTCGCCACGTGCCATATAAAAAGAGAGCAGTCAGGGCTTGGTGACATCGGAGGAAGACTTCGTAGCACCGTCGCCGAAGCCAGGGGAGCGAGATGAGGGCAAGGGTGGCCAAGGAAATTGAGCCCTATCAGTGTTAGTCTTGAATTCATGACAGTGAGAAGGAAACTTACAATTAGGGTAAATATGTTCCGTATTGCCCCAAGAGGAAAACTGAATCCCCGGCTCTGGCAACCCGCAACCACGTGAAAAGAAAGGAGAGCAACAGACATCCAACCTGTTGCGTGGTGAATCTTACAGCACGTGTGCCAGGTGATACCCAGAAGGTCAGCCAAGTACCCAAGGTGAGTGGCCGAGAGGGGAAAATTAAGGTTGATAAGAGCCAGCTCTCTAGCTCGACGGCCAGCTTGGGCGACAGAGTGTGTATATAGGAAGACCGTAAAGATATTCACCACAGTGTAGACAAGATAAATGACGAAATTCAATCGGGACCAGGGGCCCCAAATACGATGCCTGTGGACGAGAGCAGGAAGTGTGAGGTGCCGAGAGATCAGGACAGAGCAGGACTCGATCCAGCCAATCATAGTGGTTCGGGTCTGGACTAGGAAGAGAGCTAAAAAGCAGCCTCCCGCAGCGATTGCATAAATCGATGACAAATTCATCCTTAGCGGGATCTCCAATTACAATGGACCTTGGAGGACGGCATATGAGGGGAGAGCGGACCTCTTTTAAATGAAAGCCATTAACCACGGCATCGTCATCTCCCTATTAGCGATACCTTGCAGCGAAGGCGGAAGCATCAGGAACAAGAAGCAGAACACTTCAGAGAGCATCGACTAAGTGTTCCAGTGTCACAATTCCCCAGTTACTGCAGACATCAAAATTAATGAGCTGCCCTTGACAGTGCTTTGAAGAGAGTGTGTCAGATAATGAAGGCTATTCAAGACTCACAAATACATCCCTTCTTGCACTGAATCAACAAATCAGAATCTTCAACAACCGATAATGGAGTGGAACTGCCTTAAAACTGAGGCTGCTTTTTTTCTTCTGTTCGATGTATTGTGAGCTTCTTTGCTATTCTCAGCGATTCTGAGCGCGCGACTTTATTTCACATAATGACAAGTACATACATAGCTAGCACCGAAAAGGTGCTGTATGGAAGCATTCGCTTAAACATAGAGGCCCATAACAAGCAGTCTGAATAGAGTGGTGAATTAAAAGGGGGAGTGCAGTAAATCAACGGACGTACGAAGAGAGTCCGCATTGTGTGTGCACAAAAGGAGGCTGGGGTTCCGCTTAGCATTCTTAATCGTGCGAGTTGAGTGGCGAAATCCACACTTCTTACTTTATAATCATATTTGATGCATCTTACTGGCTACAGTAACACTTGGGGATAAGTTGCATGACTCTAGACTGAACAGTTGCAGTCTGCATGTACATTTCTGGTCTCGGCGTATACAAAAGTGTGGATTTCACCGGTCTAACTTCATACGAAGACCACTCATAGCTCAATATTTATGGGGGACAATAATATGATAGCACACAAACAGAGAGATATATTTCCCTTGCTCCTTTATGTCATTCCTCTTGAAAAAGTTTCTTGTGATTCTTCATAGCTATAGGAACGGGCTCGGGGCTCGAGGAAGCGCGACTGAAATCCTGGGAGTAGAATTGGAAGTATGCAGAACTACGGTATCCTGTGACTCCTCAGTCAGGGTATAAGTAGCCAATGTGCAGTCGAATCTGTGACCATCGCAACCCATCGGACTCACGGCTGGCGTACACCCGCAAAGGAAACCTGCGAGATGACCACCGACAGATACGTGTCATCCACGGCCCTCGGCTCTGATTTCCGCTCCAGGCGCTATCTTGAGTCTTTTATTACAGTACAAGATATAACTAGCTTATAGGTGGCTGAGAATTGAGGTCATGGAAGCTATTTGAGAAATATCACAAGACAACGATTTTAGAATTTCGCCGTGTTTCACAAACATGGCAAATCACATTTCTGTGAAACTTCTAAATGAGTCGTGCCATCGACAAGTGTAAAGATTTATTACGACAAAAGACGTATGGCTCCGTGCATGAATCAAGATTTCTCGATGTGATAGTAAGGAAGGTCGATGTTTCCCAAAGCCGACATGACATTTCCGTGGAATGCATTCGCTGTCCGTTTTCGATGTCAAGCTTCCAGCCCGGTGCATGGTCTAAGGAGTGAAAGTGTTTATTTTAGCACAAGATACTGGACAGTAATTGCAGTGGCTGCATTAGACTTGCCTGGCTTGATTGAGCTCTTTAGCGGGCACTGTCCTCAAACGAAACTCGTTTTCTTTTCCGCTGCGCATCCAAAGATGGTTTAAGACACGCAACTGCCTTTTTCATGTCTTCTATCTCCGTTCTGAGGCTTTCGATCTCAGAAGCAAGTTTTCTCTTGAGCAGGCGCTTCGTTGCCTTGCTTTCTAATTCTCTATATATTTCTGTCAGTGTTGCTCTGGACTTCAAATAGACGTCTCCGGTACACTCACTTCAATCGATCGTCAGTGCTAGCATGATTTGTTAGTAAAGAACACAAATTGCAGGGCATAGAGGTAGGAATATCAACTAACAGTTCGATGGCAGGACTTGCATTTCTTTGCCGCCCAACCGATAAGTCGTCAACTGCCTTTCTCTTTTTCCATGACTTAGATAAAGTATCGTGTCCGCCGCTCTTTCCAGATTCACCATCCTTGTCAGCTCGTTTATCATCTCTTTTCGTTTTTTTCACGGTGGACGATCTATGTCGGCGTGTGATCGCATCTTCCTGACAAGCACTTTCCTCTGTCGAACTTTGGTCTTCCAGCACCTTGGTCAATCGAGCCCGATATTCGCTGTATCGGGGAATAGATGATTCAGAGACACGTTCAGTCATCTTAACGGTTGCAACGACTAGAAAAAGCTTGAAAATAAGACTGGGAGGCTTTTGGAAGATTGAAATGTTGGCTTTTCTCCTGGAAAAGTACCGAGTTATTATACACTGAGTTATTTAAGTTAGTTTCGGACTTTTTTCAAGCGAGCCGTGGAACTATCATATTACTCATATTTTTCGCCGGGAATGTTCACCGCAGAAACGATGGATGGGGTGGAGCATTCAGGCAGTCATCTCTAGTAGAGCCAAGGCATTACTCAACGTTTATCGCCAGACAAAATGGTGGGGGTGTAAGCATCGCCAAAGTTCAGAGCATGCATGCACAAAGCTACATTAGAAAATTCTACAAACACAAGTTCGAGGCTGTGGGCAGTCGATTTACCAAATTCTATCCGCATGCTTTCGAACTTGCCAGCCAAGTTGAAGCTATTTCCCTGTCAACAACGTTGATGAGGCATTTTATTTGTCAGGCCTAGACCCAGCAGAGCCAAGGGTCCAGGTGGGGCGTGCCACTCCACCCGCTACCCAGCCCGAACGCTTGAAAATTCTTATTTCAACGTTGATCAACCGCCTCAACGCCCAGCGAAATTAGGGTCGCCCGCTGCAAATTTGAAGTCAAAATCTCTGGACTCGGCAAAATGTACGCAAGTGGTCGCTGCCGAAACCTCTACTCAGAATAGCATAAAAGACGCTCTTTTCCCGTCGAAATGAAAAGCAGGACTTTCCTCCTCACACTCCCAAGCCACTCGGGTGTTCTTCGCAGGATAAGATCTGCGATATCAAGTGTTCTTCGCAGGATAAGATCTGCGTTACCAAGTGTTCTTCGCAGGATAAGCTCTGCGTTACCAAGTGTTCTTCGCAGGATAAGATCTGCGTTATCAAGTGTTCTTCGCAGGATAAGATCTGCGTTATCAAGTGTTCTTCGCAGGATAAGATCTGCGTTACCAAGTGTTCTTCGCAGGATAAGATCTGCGATATCAAGTGTTCTTCGCAGGATAAGATCTGCGATATCAAGTGTTCTTCGCAGGATAAGATCTGCGATATCAAGTGTTCTTCGCAGGATAAGATCTGCGATATCAAGTGTTCTTCGCAGGATAAGATCTGCGATATCAAGTGTTCTTCGCAGGACGGGCTCTGCGTGATCAAATGTGCCTCGCGGGGCGGGCTCCGCGTCAACAAGTGTGCCTCGCAGGAGAGTGCTGCGTCAACAAGTTCTCCGCAGGAGACCGCTGCGTCAATAAGTTCTCTGCAGGAGAGTGCTGCGTTAAAAAAGTTTTCCGCAGGAGACCGCTGCGTCAATAAGTTCTCTGCAGGAGAGTGCTGCGTCAAAAAGTTTTCCGCAGGAGACCGCTGCGTCAAAAAGTTCTCCCTCACAGCCAATGAGCCCTGTGTTGTACAAATGTGCTCCCTCCCAGCCAATGAGCCCTGTGTTGTATAAATGCGCTCCGCGGGGACCTCCGCGACATCAAGAGCCTCCGCAGGGGACGCTGCGAAACCAAGGGAGACCCGCAGGAGACCGCTGCGTCAACAAGTTCTCCCTCACAGCCCTGAGCCCCGTGATTGTATAATCTTGAGCTTCCATGCAGCCTTGAGCCCTGCGTTATCAAATTTGCGCTCATTAGGCGACCCGTGGCGCCGCGGTCCTCGTCTTGATCCTCTGGCCATTGCAGGCACCTCTTCGTGGTGTCAGAGACTAGTATTCGGGGGAGTCCTCGAAGAAGCCAAGACCTGCTCCAAAGAATCGATAGAATCAAGAATCCAACAAGATATGGTGTAAAATGAGTTCACTTTTGTATGTAGATTTCGAACAATGCACTTTGTAGCGCTCAACCATGCACTGAACTTCAAGAATGGACATTCTCCTCCACGTAGTGTGAATTAGAGCGTCGAGTCATGGCCGGTAGCGGGGTGGCCAATCTGGATGGCGGCTGTAATCCAAGGTAGTCTATTTGCGTGAATGCTTGTCTCTGCTGGCTGGCAGTGGCAGCAGGGTTTGCCTGGATGTGGGGAGATGCGGAGTTTCGACGGTGAGTGGGTGGTGTGCTGGGGTGTTGATGGTGAGGGCATGTTGACGATGAAGACATGTTGACGGCGATTGACGGTGGTTGACGGTGATAGATGATATGTGGATGGTGTGTTGATGGTGGGAATTGGAGGTGAGTGACGGTTGAGAGTTGGTGATGATGGTAATGGCGGCGGGATCAGTGAATGAATGGTGAATCAACATGTGCAGTGACTCCCGGGCGGTGAAGTGGCGGCCAACGGTAAACACCCATCCCCGTCATATTGGGGATCTATGTTCCTCACGAATGCAACAGTTGATGAAAGGTGCGAAATGATGATTTCTACATGTTGGATTCGATATGATAGTAAATACTTCGGTCGCTTTTCTGTATGACATTCTCTCGATTCGAGCTTCATCGCGTGCTCTCTGGCCATATTCTGTACAATATCTGAAATGGTGTTGCCGTATGCTGATTTGATACCTGCAATATATATATTCCCAAACCATTCCTATTAGGTACATTATCGGCGGTAAAATCGGCAAAGAACTATTAGGGTACTAGCGATAGAAAGCCTCATTCTCCTAAGCATATTTCAGTTATCATTTGGACTCGGCCTGACCGAATGAAGGACACTTCTGGAGCTCGAAACGCTGATCTTGCCGGATGTGTGCCCAGAAGAACGCGCGGGTGTCATTACTTGGAATGTGGTGGATATAATAAAGCAAAAGCAGCGCCTTAGGATTGACCATATGCTGATTTCAGTATAAAATCATGCGTGGTCTAGTGGAATTTCTTATTTGCTCTCTGTAGCGGCACGGGTTCGATTTCCGTAGGGCGCATCAATTGAAATTGAGTCAGAACGACGGGACTTGGACTTGCTCATGCGGCCCACCCGAATTCGCAGCCCACTATGTGTTTCCGATTCGTTTCCCGAGCATTCGCTCTGCGAAGTAATTTTTACCCTTTGCCATTTCAAACGAGAATGGCGAACCCACTTTTGCGGAGTCGATTGACCTTCCGGCCAAAGTCAGCAACCGGCGGTATGAAATTGATGGTCATCGAGGATCTGCCGCACCAGACTCATCTATGGGGGGCCAAGGCTGGGTGCACTGGAGCGTCGCGTAGAACACCCGTCACGCCCACTTTGAGAGTACCACCAGCGGCTACGTTCGAAGTCAACAAGCACGTCTTCTCCACTAATATCACAAACCGAACTGGCATCTTTCGTTGGGCCATTGTGACTGTCTAGGCAATCGATTGGCCGGCGAGGCTACTTCTGCCGGCGGGTTCTGCGACTCGGTGAAAGCGAGGAGGCATTCGGTCGGCGGGCGGCTGCCTTGAGAATAGCATCTGAAGAAAAAAGCCAATTTCATTACAGCGTCTTGGCTATGGTTAGTTGTCTTCCAAATTATTCTGGAGATGGAAATGTACTTAGTTAAAACGATCGTTTTTGGTGGAAACCCGCATCTACGGCATTGAATTGGGGCACTGGTCACGTGGAGTCCAGGGTTAAAGCGATTCCCAGAGGAACAGGAAATTTTTCTTTCGCTTTTGGAGGTCTCACGTACCACCGCTGTCTCACAAGGCGCTAGGTCTAAAACGGCTAGTTTGAGCTAAACCGAGGCAAGTTGTCGGAACAGAAATGTACGTCCAATCAGGTCCATGGGTAGTTGTCTGAATTGTTATGTCTGTACCCATACAACCTGTATGGGTGTGAACATGACTAATCTCGGCTAGTCTATAAACAGCAAACTAATACACATCCTGACAATACTGAATCCCCACCGATACTGACACAAGTTTAGTTTCAAATCACCGTACGTGATGTCAGGGCAGGGAGTAACTTAGCTCGTAATTTGTCTACCCGCCAGGGGAGAGGCAATCAAGTAAGTATGTAGCTCATGTAGCCCAGGATCGACTCCGAGATATGCCCGTCGTGCCCATCTGTTGTCCTCCAAGGGCCCGCACGCCTAGCATGGGCCTAATTGAGCTCAGTTTATTTGTTTATCTATTATTTTTTTTAACCAAAAATCTTATCCCTTCTGTTCTTCGTCCGATGCAATATGTAATGTTGAGTTGCTTTATTTGAAAGCAACTACACAAGCCAATCAGCAAAAGCATTTGGGCGTAGTACAATTCTGTTAATCATCCGTCCACGGAGTCACCTCACCTCTGGGCATTGCTTGCCTGCATGTGCTTTACTTCATAATTTTTCAGGGATGCGACGATCTAGTGACAGACTACTATTCCCAGATTAAATATTGCCTACCCCTTGCCGAATATTGATCACGTGAATTATAGTGTTCAAGAAGATCCTCTCCTTGTAGAGGATACTAGTTTTTAGGGACAATGGCTTCATAGGCCGCCTCTGTCGATTGGTTATTTTCTTTGTACCAACCAACCGCGTTGACCTGAGAGGCGGACGGCATTTGCCTTTAACGATGCCCCATCAGACCTGAGACTTGCAGCATCAAGCTTCTTAGAACCTACCAGAAGTTCGCCGTATTCGTCTCCATATACACAGCATTCCAAGCGCATGATCATCGGCAGGCAGGCTGGGATTCATCTCTACATTGCCGTACCAACCACAGTATCGTGTGAAAATGTTGGTCATATCTGCCCCACATTCCACGGTAGATTCTTGGTAGATAGTTTCAGTTTTATGTGACATGACCTGACCGCTATTTTCGAGCGCTCCGGAGTATATTAGATACCAGGAAAATTAGGGTGGGGTGAATGGTACACCAACCAATTTACAACCAATAGCCGAACAGTATATCTGATTATCATTGAAGACATATATATATTGGCGCCTTTCCTGCACCAATTAACCGACCTTAACCCTACTAGCAAACATATAAATTTCAACAAAGTGCCTTTGGCGAGAACCTGTTCTTAAGTCCTTTTGGTCCTTGCTTTCTTTTGTGTATGTGCTTTTTTTAATTTCTATTTTATTTTTATTATAGCCTTCGAGATGCGAGTGTCATTTGGTGTATGTGTCCTTACCCTCATGTCCGCACCATATGCTTGGGGAAAGGACATTGCTTTCAAAACAAATTGTGGTGGTAATGTACTCAACCTCAGTATTCAAGGGCTTTGCTTACCATTCAACAAACAGCCACCGGAACTGGAAATATCACCTCCGTCGACGTTGTTCCTTGTTCTGAGGAACCATGTCAACTTCAAAAGGGCAAGGAAGCTCATATCACACTCAGAGGAGTAGCAAAGGAGGCCATTCAAGAGGGAAGAATTGATACAACAATGAGTGTTCTAGGCATACAGGTGCCTGTGCCTAATGTGGAGCGTGATATTTGCAAGACAGTGTCCAAGTGTCCAATTATGGCTGAGCAGCCTATTGTGGCTGACCTAGTCGTTCCTGTGTCGCCCATTGCTCCTGTTGCCAAAACCACAATCACGGTCACGGTATCAAGCCAGGACGGTCTTGTGTTTTGTGTCCAATTTCCAGTCTTCCTGGAATAGAATATCCCGGGAAATTTCCATGGTTCAACCAGCATTCAACGGTGATGGTATACTTAGAGCAGTTTATGGTCATGATGTACCAGTCTTTCTAGATAAGCTACGAAAGCCACGCTAGACCGAAATAGGAACAGAGGTTGATCTCGATTGTTACAATAAAGCACAGAGTCCATCATCCCGACAGGCATATTTCCAAAAGAAGAATGTTCCACAGGGGCAACCCGCCGGTTTTTTTAAAATTTGGTCCTCCTGCGTTACTGGGTCCTTGCATGTCATGTAACAGGGCGCTAAGGGCGATGATGGACAAGCTGCACATTCCTTGGCATCGAGATTTTGACTGCGGTGTTTCTTGTCATTAGCGATGTCTAGAGATTGAGAGCAGTGGTAGTCATACGAGTCATCAACGTTAAAGCTGGCACTGTTACCGCCATTGAAGCTTGGCGATGGGCTAGGCGAGGCTTGTAGTTGGAAGCCGCTAGACGTGGCGGATTGAAGGGCAACTGCCGTTGATATCGTTTCTAAGAGAAGGAAGGCGAAAGGTGTGAGTAGTGGTTTCATACCCGCAATAGGATTGAGAGAAACAAAGAATAATGCAAGTATAGAGAAATGGGTGGTGGTGAGAGTGCAAGTCTAAAATCAGGGGTGGTTATTTTTATGACTACCCCTCTTACTAAGCAAATACATTTTGGGAATGTGTTGGAGGTTCTAGCTGCGCGAAAGAATGAGATAGTGAACTAGTCTGAATTTGAAATAATACGAACTACCGAATCTGACAAACCAGGGCTCCACAGATTCCGACAGCCAGACTTTTCACCGCCTGGATTACTAATTTTCAGTAATTTACGCGTCATTACGTTGGAGCCGCTGAAGAAAGTAATATGTCGGATAGCGGCAAACATGTATTAACTAACATGGCAGAATATAGTTGCAAGAAAGTTGTTCTATCGAAATGATGTATCGAGATGAGCGATCCGACTGGCTCGCCGAGGCTAGTATCACTGCGCTAGTAACTCAGCTGAGGTGGATCTTCGTAAAGTGGAGCTATCAAGGGGCCCATGGTATCACGCACAGAGGCCCGACGGCTCAGGTTGTACAGATCGGCGGCTCAAGTCAAGAGGGATATGTTCCCACACTATGCTTTGCTCGACTCCGAGCAGCGCGATGTGGTATGCGCTGTATATACGCAGAGGGTGGCTTATTAAGTGCTGGTTCATATAACGTAATTCCTGGCCGACCGGAACGCCCGGCCGTGCGGAACACCCCAAAACACCATACTAAATACGATTTTTCAGGTATCAATATATCAACAACGAGATGATGATTTTGCTTCATTTTTAGCATGCTATAATTCCCTAGCATTAGAAATATTGTAGCATGAATGACATATTCAGCAATCTATTATTTACTTGCATTACCAAAAATACGCTTACATCGAGCGATCTAGATATATAGTGGATATATGGGGGTCAAATTTGCTGCGTATTTTCGCGCGTTATTATGGCGAAACCGTCAAGCCCTCAATACATCAACCATGGAATGGGGGTCAGATTCCTGTATTGACCTCGTAAAGGGTCCGTTTTTACATTCCAACCCCCCTCTCTTTTCTTCTGCTGGCAGAAAATCAAAAATTAATTGACTATAGAGTGGCTAACAAGCTTCTGAGAGAAGCTGAGAAAGCTGGTAGAACGAAAGCTTGCCTCTACACCGTACAAGCTCTAGCTCCTCAACAGCTGCATCTAGAGATAGTCCCTTGCCATGTCTAGCGTAGATCTCGTCAATAATAACTTTTCGCCGGCAAAACATAACCCTTTCGCGAGAGGAAGGCCGCCAGGTCGCACCATACGATCTCTCTAATGACTGGACTGATGGATTTGTACCTAACCCACATGTCCACTCTCCCAGACCTCTGGCACAGTCTGGATCGTACGAGAGAGCGAGTAGAGAGATCGAGAGGGGGGTAATAAAGAGGGAGTACTGATCCTCTTCGGGAGAAGCTGCTGCTTATCTATAGGAGGCTGCAAAGATGATACCTCTGATAGACATGCTGCTAGCTGAGAAGAGGGTGTGAAGGAGTCTGAGTCTGGTGTCCGCGCTTCAATAATAGAGGCATCCATAGCTCGTACGGCAAAGGTAACATGGCCAGAAAGAAGATCATGAAGCTGGCGAGTAATCTTTCTAAGCTGTTCATGAGCCTGATAACCATGAAGATCAACCGCCTGATGGATATCCTTCTGGAGGACACTAAGGCGATCGGCAATAATTGGAAGCGTCTGTCGGAGCTGAATCTCCTGAGGGGTCTCTGTACAAGGAAGGGACTGCCGTATTTGCTCTGCAAATGTAGTATAGTCTTCTCGTACGAAGATATGGTCATCCCACATAGAATGCCCAGGGAATTGCGCCTGTAGGAGAACTGAGTCTTGGAGGAGGATTATCCGTAGTTGATTTAGTAGCTGCAAGAAGCCTTGCGCTGCCATATCATCTCGGTCTTCCTGTTCCTGACTAACGGCCACGCTAGGTGGCTTATTTGTAGGATCATTAGACTGGAACCAAGCAAGCCACTGATCGACCCATGGCCAGAGAGCTCGTACGAGAGAATCTGGAGGTTGAATTTTTGCTCGGGGAAGATAGTAATTCCCAATTGTATCAGGCTGGAAACCAGCCATTGAACGAAGGAATTTCCGCGGTAGATGCGTCAGATAGCAGTTAGTTAATGCGTCCTGATTCCATTGACCAGCGCGACGGATCTGGTTCTCTTCCACGCCTTCTAGCTCGGCTTGTTTTGACCCCTGGGCACGGCCAGCATGCGTCTTCTTGTCAGTAGAGAGATTGATTGCATTATAGACCTCATTAGCCCATTTTAGCTGGATCTCGTACGAGATAGGCTTCTCTTGATCTAAGCCCTTAAAGAAGTGGAAATTATACCACTGTGGTCGGCTCCGAAACTGCGGTGGTGACTCTCCTATTATCTGCCAGGGATAAAAGAGATAAAAAGCTGCCTGGCTCATCGTACAAAGAAGTGGATCCTGATGGCGTATTACTCCCATATATTGCAAGCGACCAAATTGATTTGTCTTTCCGTTATTCATCATCATAATCATTGGCCAGCAGGGGGTCGGGCCTTCGTTAGGCAAGGAGATAGTAAATAGGTCAGGAAATTGGAGCCGCCGGCGTGATTCTCCACGAAGAAGCATATTATGACTGAAAAGGAAATCCACGGCCGTACGAAGATAAGACTCCTGGGCCTGAGGCTTTCGATGCTTAAGGTCTTTTGACCTCCACCCTTGCCAACAGTATCGTACGAAGTCCTTAATCTTGTCCTTAGAATATCCATCTTGTAGGGTGCCTGCGGCTCGGTCAAGATATTGCTCGCGCTTTCTCTCGCTTTCCTTATGTAGTCGGCCGGTCATCAAGACCGAAACGGCATATCCACGGGGGTTAGGAAAGGTATTCGTCCCAATACTTTTTTGGAACTTCCAGAGGTCCACAATAGCATTGATATATTGCGTAATAGAATTGGTCCCTAGAGTTTGTTCAACCTTTGATCCATCAGGCCGAGTGCGATCTTTTTTGTATTGACAGGACCGGAGGGGCCGGTTTAGGAACTCAGTACCAAGAAAGTAGACAAGCTTCTTCTCTGTAACTAATTCGCCATCTGGGAAGCCCTGCTTTTTGCAGAAGCTCTGTAATATCCCTAAGCTTCTTGCTTCTCGTACGAGCTAGAGACAAAAGGGTCTTTCTTTACCTGCCATTCTTTATGCTTGCTAACATAAACCCTTGATGTATTCTTAGGCCGCTGGCTTCGCATATAATGCAGAGCCTTGATGCTGTGAAGGTTTAACTGGTCCTGAAGCTCAATCTGCGCTAGCTCCTGGGTCTGTGATGATGGAGGAGAAGAATGTGATGATAGAGCCATTTTTTATCAGGTTCAAAATAGTATTCTCTCTGAGATGCGTGTAGGTAGTAGGAGTAGTGACAAAGATAGGAACGCGACGCGGAATTCACACAGGTAATAGCTCCCTTTCTACCGCCTATCCCCGTCATCCCCCTTGCTCATTAGGATCTCTATATCATCATCATCATCATTATTAAGAGCGGGCGGGAATGTAAGGGTACTGTCATGGGCCCGTAAGGGCCCGTACGAGGCTATCCCTGGCTTCAGGATTACTGCCAAGATTTCGCAGGCGCGATCTGCGGTCAGATATCTCGCCGGGGATGGGGGTCAAAGGGGTGAGTACGGTCAGGTATCTCAGATATCCTAGGAGTCACGTGGGATTTCGCGAAATTTCGTGGGCGTCGATACATAGTATATCTACATTACTATGCCCAGAAATACTTCTTGAACTTATAAAAATACCCAGTATTTTACATCAAGATACCCTAATTCCATATAATTGGCCTTGAGCATTGAAATATGAAGTTGTGAATGATCGCATTTACTATGGTGTTTTGGGATGTTCCGCACGGCCGGGTGTTCCGGTCGGCCAGGAATTACGTTATGTCATTCTCCCTGCTCCGGTCAAAGAAGCTTCATATTTACTCTAATTTTAAACTGAAATATGCCTCACCAATTTGGCAGCAAAAATCCCGCAATCCAGGAAGGTGATGTTCGACTTGAACCGGCACCGTTACGAGACCCCAACTCGACGTCGCGACTCTCAAAGAAACAACCGAAACAAAATCAAATGACGTGGCAGCAGAAGGTCAAACTTACTGTGTAAGAACCCATAACGAGAAAACATTCATTATCATGATCACTAGCCTGGGGATGGTTTTGTGCATGATAGCGACGAACATAATTCTCCCGATAATTCCTGTGCTCGCAAGTGAATATCATCTGACACCTTCCCTTGTCAGTCTAACCATCACCGTATACATGTTAATGCAGGGGATTTCGCCAGCTTTGATGTCTGCGCTCTCTGATCTGCAAGGGCGTCGCTTGGCATGGGCTCTTGCATTGTTGCTATACACTATCTCAAATATCGGGCTTGCACTGCAGGATAATTATATTGGCTTGGTAAGCCTTCGGTGCATGCAGAGCATTGGAAGTAGCTGCGCGGTGCCATTTGGCTTTGCAGTAGCTGCCGATATCGCGTCACCAGCAGAAAGGGGAAGATACATTGGTCCGAAGCAAGGTGGTGTTATGACAGCTTTCGCATTTGGTCCCGTTATTGGTGGAGTGTTGTCAGAGAATTACGGGTGGAGAAGCGTATTTTGGTTTCTTGCTACTGCTACTGGCTGCTTTCTGGTGGGCTATTCTCTCGTTATCCCTGAAACTGCCCGAAATGTGGTCGGAAATGGCTCGGTTGACCCTGGGGTATGGTGGAGGCGGCCGTTGTTGGAGGTCTTCCCAACCACGGGGCGCAGTCCCCCACGCTGATACTTACAAGGCCAACATCTTCATGAGGGCCGCCAACAGAAAAACAGTATTTTCAAAATATTGAGGTCTTTCACTATTTTGAAGAAAAGGACGCATTCATTCTCATTCTATACACCAGTTTGCTCTATTTCGGCATTTCGGCATTATGGGCGACCACAGCAAATCATTTTGGTGATATATACGGCTTGAATACCCTTTACGTCGGGCTCTCGTTTCTGTGAGTGAACATGGCTGTTCTAATAACTCCAGATTGTCTGATCTAATTCTTGTGCTAGTCCTTACGGGATCGCCGGGGGCATCGGCTCGATAGTTAGTGGAAAACTGATCGATGTGAACTATCGGCGGCTTTCCAGGTTCCGAGCCAAATATCAAGAGGAGGCTAAGGTGGAACAAAAAGATTCACAGGCTACATATTTTCCATTTGAGGTTGCAAGGCTTCAAGTTGCGGCACCGTTCATGCTACTCATTGCTTTTTCGTTCGTTGCATACGGCTGGGCTTTGCAGAGAAGATTGCCACTTGCCATCTCACTTTTTTGATCCAGGCTCTTATCGGCCTGTGTGCAAATTCCCTGCTTGGGATCATCTATGTACTTCTGGTAGACCTTTTCCCTGAACAAGCTGCTGCAACTTCCGGGGCGGCAGACTTGGTGAGATGTTGTCTAGGGGCTCTATCTGCAGCGATTGTTGATAAAATACTGTCTACTATGGGTTGGAGCTGGTGTTTCTCCTTTATCGGGTTGATCATGGCCGTTTCATTGCCTTTGATTGGGATTGTATACCTCTATGGACCCCGTTGGAGAGAGGAGAGGAGCATTAAAACAAACCCATTATTTTCATAGAATATCAATTGTGGAAGTAACTGAGCTGCGATATTTTCTATTAGATGTCACATCATGGATGCCTTATAGACTATCACAATGAGCCGATAGCTCCACAGACCAATGCGTGAACAGTTCTGCAGGCCCCGTAGGGTATTGTACATCGCAAGTCTGAGGACCAGATTTCAAACTGAAAAAAGGGTTGTATATGATAAAAATTTCCCATACGTAGTTCTTTGGCATGTGTAAGCGTCGATGGTAAACATCTTAGTGCTGCTCAATATCCGAGTGTTCAAAAAAAGCCTAGCCATGTATCAACCAACCCGTCGTGAAAATGACAAAAGGACGTAAGCAGAAATTAGAAAGGCAACTCTCATACTTATGTGACTTCAAGCCGAAGATGTCAAAGATATAAATTTTATAGTAACTCCAGTAGAGTATTGTGTTGTGATATTTTCTTTAACTACAGAGGGCCAACGTAGTAAAGCACAAATCAAAAAGCAGTTCGCCACAAGCTAATTTTTGCGAATGCGTAGCCATCACACGTCGCCAAGAGCTGAGATAGCCTCAATATCCTTTGAATGGCTTTGTACCACCAAGCGGCGTTGCACGGTGCCTTTGGCTGTAGTTTGAAACGGCTTGCTAGATGGGGCGATCAAAATATGGTCTTTTGTAATCTGCGCCTCACGAGGAAGATCCTTATTGATTTTCTGAATTAAAGGCCAGATAGCGTTTGCGACATCTCTGGGCATATGTTGATTATCCCTCGTCGGTTCTATGATGACCAACACGCGAAGAGCATGGTCAGTTGTGACAATGGCCTTGGAAACTGAATTGTGCCCCGTCAAAGTTGTTTCTATCGGATGAGGGTAGAGAAGCACACGATTTTGGAGTTTAGAAATGTCATCGCAACGACCGACATGCTTCCACAGTGCGGGATTTTCCGTATGTTGGGTGAATAAATCGCCAGTACAAAATTCACGGTGATTTGGAAGAACAAGAAAAGCGCAGTGCGTAAATCGCCCAGCAGGCCGCGGGACAACTAGTTGAGAGCACTTGTCATCATAGAACCTCATTTCCACTGGATGATTGGGGTTCCATTCGAAGTATTCCCAGTCCTCGCGCTTCAGAGGCTGTAGCGTAGAGAAGTAGCCGGTTTCAGTAAGTCCGATAGAGGATTGCAAGCGTACCACTTGGCTGATTCTGTCTCCCACGTCCGTGGGTAAGGGCATGCCAACAAAACTAACGCAATCAAGGCTCGATATCGCTTCAAGCCCCTTCACCGACGAGCTAAGAGACGACAGCGTGTCTGGCAAAAAAAGGCCAGATCTAGCCTTGGTCTCAGCCACAATCTGCTTCAAAAGTGAGGCTGTCAATGGTACATCGGGGCCTATAACGAAATGTGTTCCGTGTAAAAGTGCTGCAGCCCAGGTTATTATACCACTCGCATGGAACAGGCTGGTCTTCAGAAAGTGTGGGTGTTCTGGCTTACTGAGCCAAGGAGCCGTGGAAACTCTACCCGGAGGAACTGGGAGATGCTGGAAGTAGTCCAAGGCAGAGAAGTATCCATGAGGCAAGGGAATCTCTTTTGGCAAGCCTGATAGGGCGAGAAAAGGTTCTATCAGTAAAAATATTGGAACGGCTAACGGAAACCCTTACCCGTAGTCCCAGAGCTATACAGGACCACTGCAGGGTCTTTCTCCCGAGCAAACACAAGTTCACGGCAGTAAGATGACGGTGTTGATGAGGGATTGGGGCCATCGAACCACTTCCAGAGCTCCTGCACTTCCCATGATTGAAGGTTTTCGTGACATTCTTGAATCTGTCGCACCTTTCCCCGGAATTTGGAAGTGAATAGCAGTTTAGAGCAGCCTCCAGATTGCAATAGTGTATTTGTGGTCGATTGTGGGGTCGTCGGAGCCAGGAGCATAGCCTTCGGGTGGTCTCGTTAACTGTATGTGTGCCAAAGAACAGACTGAAAACATACACAGTGACCTAGTTTCAAGCATGCCAAAACGCATATGGCATAACGAATATCGTTGGAACCAAGGTAAACTAATCTTGTAGGTGTGGTCTTCGAGGCAATACGGGTTTCAACCCACGATGAAAAAGCATTAACCGCATGTGCCAGATCTCCAATAGTGACACGGCGCCATCCGCAGTCAACGGAGTCAAGAGATAACGTGTGGACGCAAAAGATACGATTGGGTCTTTTGCTGGCTTCTTGATCCAAGGCTTGTGCCAGGAGACGGGGCTCGAACTTCGAGGAACACATTGAAGTCAACAATAAGTGTTCACAGGAAGGTAATGGGGATCGAAAACTTTTGCTTCCCATTCCGTGTTGCCTTTGTTGTGTGGAGCAGGGGAAAATGGAAAACATGTAAGCAGATTTGACGGTTATTGGTTAAAGGTATCCACAGCCCTTGCGTCCCACCCTCGAATTGCAAATATATCATCATGCCAAGTCATTCACCGCAATTCATTCATATGGTATCAGAACTCCGCAGGACTTAGAAACAAAAGTCATCCATACGGTTGCGTAAGATTGGTGCTTTCTGTCAAATTTCTTTAGGGCTAACTTACGTCATAAAAATCTATGTATATATCGTAGCGCCTGCCTAGGGCGGTATGGCGGTTTCATGGCGACATTCTAGACTGAATCTTGACTTCTGAATGGACTCGATAGCCATCACGAGCTGCAGCGGGTAAGTTGGCTTCGATTTCCTGGTTAACACAATGGTTCCATTGTGATAAAATCACAAGGGATGCGAAATGTGATACCAAAAGCTCTGGTAACTGGACGATTTGCTCAAAACTTGGCGAACAGTTCGTGTGTACCCCACTCCAGCCAACCAGCATTCAATACCGGATCCGGGTGAACTGAGCCGGGATGACGAAGAGTGCATGCAGCTACCCCCTGTTTGCTCGTGTGTACTAAGCGCATAAAAGTCAGCCAGCCACTTTCATGGATGATCTTGCCAATCCCCTAGATAGGTCCCAAACTGCAGTCGCTTAAACGGCTAGCTGATGTACGACGAACTTTCAAGGCATGCAATGTTACATAGTTGACACCTAACAACTCGTTTTATCATACATGCGCAAATTTCTGTACATAAACCAACCATATTCTTTCCACGATCCTATATCAAGTTCCAGTCAATCTATAGCAATATCTAAGCCATAGGTCACTGAAGTGTCAGAAGTATGCCTCGATTGCCGATTTAAGCATCCCCTCAGTAGCGCCTGAGAAATCCGCGGCCACTTTTTTGGACCCATTTATGTAGAGCTGGAAAGTAGGCACCGAGTGAACAGACGCAACGACAGGATGACCAGGCAACTAATCAATATCAACAGCAATGAATGTCATTGCGTATTCATTACTGGGCTTGAACGTGAGCCCCTTCAGTGCCAGCAAATATCATCTCCAGCTGCTGTGCATTCGCGGCGTATTGTCTCGCTCGAATTTCCCCTCATTATGTGAGCCACTGGACCACTGCCAATGCCTTCCGGGAATTATATCAGAATCGGTACATGTCCGTCATCTTGGAACGGTTCCAGGTCGATCGAATGGCATTACGGCTATAAGTTGTCGACGCCTGTGATCATTCTGCCGTCGTGATACATTAGTTGAAAGTAATGTACTAGTGTTTGAAGCGAGGACCATTAAAGATACCGTCATCGACCGAAATTGGATTGTCAGAACCTTAATATCTTCTTCCATTGTATCAACACCCGCTACTACTAGAACACGTCGCCTTCTCTTGCCGTGTTTACACAACCAAGAAATCCCGATGCACACATTTGCCCCAAATTGCTCATGATCATGGAAGCGGCTAATTGAACAGGGACAGGAGCACCGTCTTAGCTGCAGCGATGAACATCATCTCATGGAGTTCTACATTACCTCCTCCCTCATTTCATCCTAATCTTCGAAGGGTATCTCTTTTCTCAACTTTGAACACAGTTTCCTGGCCAATAGCGGCCTGTGCCTCTCGACAGGCCTTTTCAGCTTGTTCTGAAGCACCTGGCATAGGCAAACATCCCCAAGAATTCTGTTCCCGATGCTGGCATCTCCATAATTTGATTGTTTTTGCCTCGAAGTCCATTTTTCCTCCATTTGAAAGCCCAGCACAACGTAGAACTTTGTCAGAATCTGGTCCGATAACGAATCCATATGATCCTAGATCAATAACAACTGTGTTTTCCCCCTGTGCTTTTGCATCCAACTCGGCAGCCCCATCTATCGAGCACATCACAGTCGACGGGGTGGAAAATTTCACATGTCGTTCCATAGCATCATCTGTGCATATATCTCGATTCATCATGATAGGCCCTTTGCATTTGTGTAAAGCACGTCTGCATGTTTCCACCCATCCGGGGTTTTTGTTGCACGTGTCGATGTCTTCCTGGCACAAGTCTGCGCGGCATTTCTGCAACTCATTGTCATTGCATGATCGCTGGCATTCCACTTGAGGCACCTGATGAGGGATATCAATTACAAGGCGTTCGTAATTTGACGGACAAGTTCCAAAGCCAGGGATATAATGATCGATACACTTGTCGTAATTGTTGCACCGAATCTTGGCTGTAGCAGTGACTATCAAGCTGCCAATCATAAAGAATAAGAATAAACGAAATAGCATTTTGCACTTCTTTTTGTGACTCAGAAAGAGCAATACTGGATGCTTAAGATAAGCCAGTCGCGTAATGTTGTCTCTGGAGTTTTCAAAGGAATAATCGGAGAGTGTAATATCCCGAAGGAGGTGGCAGCTGCAGATATAAATGCATCGCGATCAAAGATTACATGCTGTTTTCTGCTGTACCTTGCACAGTATTCAAATGCCTTGAATCTGATGCAACCTCATCAGACCCTCACCCTCTTGAGATTTGTCACGGAAGGGCCTGCAAGGATGCAAGCCGACTAGATTTCGAAGCCAATCAACTTTATGTGTATTGGGCTCCACATTGCCATAATCGGCAAGGTATATTGCTATTGGAAATTCTAAGCGAATAAGGGCAGGATCTACAGTCATAATTGACCTTTTTTTGAACTTGTACAACCATTGATATGAGGCCCCTTGCGATCTCCTCGTTCAGCTATCTACCGCACTTGATCTGCGATAAACGAATAAACAGCCTGCAACCAGCACTTAAAGAATTTGAAGTATTTTACTAGACCCATCTTTCTGTGGGGCCAATTAGTTAAGGAAGGTGTCGAACTGAAAGAGTGGTTAAATACCACTAATACCTTTTTGGATAGGATGTTCATCATCCGCCCAATTCCCCTAGTATTCGGATGGTATTCGGGATAGACTCCGAGTCATGGTGTCGTAACACACCACACCGGCATGATACATACTCTCGAGGGCGTTCAACCGCTCTCATGAGCCTTCAATCAATCATATTGGACATGTTCAGTACTAGCCAGTACCTCAATTCCTCATCCTGACAGAAGGTGCCAGCAGTGCCGCACTCGTATTACAATACTGTAATTTACATCAACTCAAAGCAGGTACCTCAACATATGGCGGTGGGCGGGAATACTGCCTAATAAGGACTAGTGGGCTAGTAGGGGGGGCAGTGAGAGAACAAAGAAGAAAATATAGAGGTAAATCTGATTTCGAATATTGCTGTATCTGACAGGCTGCTCGCCACATTAGGCAAGATCCTGGAGTCAGTGGTGGCAGAAAGGATCTCGCACGCAGTGGAGATCCACGGCCTGCTCCCGACCAGTCACTTCGGAGCCCGAAAGCAGCGGTCCGCGGAGCAAGCACTCTTACTCTTACAGGAGCAAATCTACGCAGCGTGGCGAGGACGACGGGTGCTGAGCCTGATCAGCTTTGATGTCAAGAGGGCCTACAATGGGGTCTGTAAGGAACGATTGATCCAGAGGATGAAGGCGCGAGGTATACCGGAAGTTCTGCTTCGGTGGGTTGAGGCGTTCTGCTCGGGACGAACGGCGGCCATCCAGATCAATGGGCAGCTGTCGGAGGTTCAAGACCTGCCATAGCCTGGACTGCCTCAGGGCTCGCCCCTGTCTCCGATTCTCTTCCTCTTCTTCAACGCCGACCTCGTGCAGAGACCGATCGACGGCCAGGGAGGAGCACTTGCCTTCGTGGATGACTTCACCGCGTGGGTAACAGGGCCAACCGTACAGAGTAATCGGGAAGGTATCGCAACAATTATCAATGACGCGCTCGATTGGGAAAGGAGGAGCGGCGCAACCTTTGAAGCAGACAAAACAGCCATTATACATTTCGCACCCAAGGCTCGCAAAGTCGACCAAGAACCGTTCACTGTCAAGGGACAGACGGTCGAGCCTAAAAACAGGGTCAAAATCCTGGGGGTCCTGATGGACACACGACTGAAGTACAAAGAGCATATCGCAAGGGCAGCATCCAAGGGCCTGGAGGCCGCGATGGAGCTACGACGGCTCCGAGGCCTCTCCCCAGCGACAGCACGGCAGCTCTTCACAGCGACTGTGGCTCCGGTGGTGGACTACGCGTCTAATGTCTGGATGCACGCATTCAAGAATAAGAACATCGGGCCGATCAACCGAGTGCAAAGGGTAGGAGCACAAGTAATCGTGGGGACATTCCTCACAGTTGCGACCAGCGTAGCGGAGGCCGAGGCCCACATTGCCACGGCACAACACCGATTTTGGAGACGAGCCGTGAAGATGTGGGCAGACCTCCACACACTACCAGAGACCAATCCTCTTCGCAGAAACACAGATCGGATCCAGAAGTTCAGGAGATACCACCGCTCACCACTATATCAAGTAACGGAGGCGCTGAAAAACATCGACATGGAATCACTGGAAACCATCAACCCGTTTGCACTGGCACCATGGGAAGCACGCGTGCAGACTGATGATGAGCCCATCTCAGAGGGGCTAGCTATACCAGGCGGATCAATACAGATCGCGCTCAGCAGCTCGGCGCGGAATGAGCTGGTCGGGTTTGGAGTGGCGATCGAGAAACAGCCACCGCGCTATCGGAAAGTGAGACTGAAGACCTTGTCCGTCACGTTGAGCGCGAGAACAGAGAAAAATCCATTTTCCGCGGAGCTGGCGGCAATGGCGCATACATTGAAGACACTCGTGGGATTGAAAGACTTTAGGATCACGTTGATCACGAGCAACAAAGCGGCAGCTCTCACGCTGAAGAATCCACAACAACAGTCGGGCCAGGAATTTGTCTGTCGAATCTACAAGCTGATGAGAAGACTGCAGAAGCATGGAAATCAGATCACCGTCCGGTGGATCCCCACTAGCGAAGACAACAAACTACTAGGGCTGGCGAAAGAGCAGGCGAGAGCTGCGACGCAAGAAGATGCCATCCTGCAAGGACAGGTCCCCAAAATGAAATCGACCACTCTAAAGATTGCGCGTGCCCAAGCAGTCCCCAATAGCGAGTTGCCCGAGAATGTAGGGAGACACTCCCGACGAGCGGACACAGCACTCCCAGGAAACCACACGCGACAGCTGTATGACCGATTATCGTGGAAAGAGGCGAGCGTGCTAGCCCAGCTCCGCACGGGCATGGCAAGACTCAATGGATATCTCTTTCGGATCAATGCCGCCGAGACAGATCAATGCGCATGTGGACAAGCAAGAGAGACCGTGGACCACTTTCTGTTTTGATGTTGGAAGTGGACCGCGCACCGGACGGAAATGCTGCAATGCACCCACACCCACCGAAGTAATATGTCCTTCTTCTTGGGAGGGAAGTCACCCTCCGATGATCAAAAGTGGAAGCCGAATTTGGAAGCAGTACGAGCGTCAATACGATTCGCCATCGCCACGGGCTGACTTGAGGCCACCTAGGTGTGCTGACAAACTGATAGAATACCTCACTTTACTAACCCCTACACCTTGTGATTGACGGTAGACGCGCTTCAACTGCCGAGGATAGGATGTTGAACACTTGAAGAAGCGCCTTCAAGCAAGTCTACTGACCAATACTAACCCACAGGGACCGACTATGAGATTGAAAGCTGAGAGGTCAAATGCGGAAGGAAATACTGTATGGGCTCCAAGGAGACACGACGTATACCCAAACATGCATGTACTGGTAGATCAGTGATAGTTGCCCTTTCGGCTGAGCCGCCGGGCGTTAATAAATTGTGTGTGTGTGTGTGTGTGTGTGTGTGTGTGTGTGTGTATCTGACAGGGAACAGGAAGTGATCCGGGTGAGAACGTACTGTAAGTGACGGGGACAACAGCGAGCGATTCAACGGAGATCGACTGTACTTCAAGTCACTGTAAGCGAACTGGAACTGTAACGCAGGGCGGCAAAAACGACTCTGGAGCTTTACGGAGTGCCTCGGGGCGACAATATCGATTTCCTGTACTGATTGAGAGTGATGGCGGGACGGGCCGCGATGCGAACCCTGGAACCGCCCGACCGCGACGAACGCGAAGCTTCGCCACCGCGACTGGCAAGACCGAAACGCATCACCAGACCACCCAGAGTCTATGCTCAAGAACAAGAAATCGACAATGAACAGAGGCAGACGCGACCTCAGCAAAAGAAGAGAACTGGACAAAGAATATTGGATCGCTTATCAGAATAAGCCGTTATCACGTCGATCATGCATCTCAATCTATTTAGCCCATCTCGGTCCTGTATGCTTGAAAATAGCTTCGATCCCAACAGTAAATATGGCCCACATCCTCTCCGATTGTAGGAAAAATATAGTATGGTCTGATTCCAGGTCTTCAAGAATTGAAGGTAGCTTATTTAGTGTACGATAAAAGGGAGAACCACCTTGATGGTCGCGCATTCTATTAGTTGAGCTATGGGTTTTCTGCTTAACTGTTTTAAAAGATTGGCATTATGTTGTATTGTAGAGAACTCCTATGCAAATGAAGCAACTATACCAACGAAAAGTACCCCTGGCTCGCCACCTGTTGGAGAAAAAGCAGTCAGAGAATAAGGAAAGAGCGGTCAGAGGAATCAGAATCTAGAGACTAATGCTCGAGTTGCATGCCAATTCATGCTGTCCGACACTGAGCCTGGGTGGTGCGTTACACAATGTCAAAGGAGGGGTTATTCTCTTCCAACCACCCCACACCGTAATTTCCACACCTCTAATTCCTGCCAGCAGAATAGTATCTGTTGCAGCAGCTGAAAGCTGAAAGATATGCATGGTTGTCAAAGGACACGTCAGCTATTAAGGCTGAGGATATTTTAGTATTGGCCTTGGAATTAACAGTACCCGTACATCTGACTTGATAAATTATTATAAATATATGGTAACACCCAACGTCCTGAATGTTGCTTCTTCGTGTACCAGGAAAACTCAATTTATGCAAATAATTACCATTGCCTTGTTGTGAAAATTCAATTGAACACGAAAATGTCAGGTCAAGTTTCCGATTCTGACCTACGGGTAGAACGGCTCCCGGATTCTGTGTTAGATGAGCAAGGAATTCTTCCAGCAGTCAATTACCTTGGCTGTGGAATCAATCTTATGGCTCGTGGGTTCTCCATTCATTGCATATCTAATTGAATAATAGTCTACGAGGAAAGAAGTTACTGACTGAGATTCCCCAGCTACTGACCCATTCGATATCAAGGCTGTACTAAATAGCACGGAGAAACCATTCTGGATTGAATCCGACTGGGAGAACGCTACCGAATGCGATGAGATACCAGGATCGGAGAAGACGTACCGTATTCCGGGAAACATGCGGGTCAACCTCGAAGGCACCAAAACAGAGACTAGCAATCTAGAAGTCAACACTGGGTCTGAGCTTGCCAACAAATTCTCTGCTAACGCTTCTCTGAGCGCCACTTTCCTGGGGGTCTCTGCAAAAGCTTCTGGGGAATATGAATTTGATACAGCCCTCAAGACTGATGACTTCTATGGTGTATGGGCGATGAATCAAACAGTTTATTCTGTAGCTCTCAAACCAGGAGATGCTCGATCAGACTTCATTGATCCCCGTCATATCTCTAAGATTTTGAAAATGAATGATTGGGATATTACCAACACCGGTATTCGTGATCAGTGGAAGAGGTTTTTCCAAACATACGGCACACACATTATTCAAGAAGTATTTTATTGCAATCGTTATCAAATGCGAGTTACAAGTAGCGATACTTCGTCCTTGAGGAAAGAGCGCTGGAAAGCTGCTCTCGAGGCCGATTACAAGGGCATCGTGAGCATGAGCGCCGAGGTGGCCAATGAGAATGAGCTAAGCACGTACCGAAAAACGAAACAAGACTTTGTCTCAATTCATGGAGGTGCGCCAGGGGAGAGCGCCATTCTAGGTGACGATCCTCGGAACGCCGAAAAGTTCGAGGCATGGGCAAAGACCTTGAATGAAGCCAAAAACCACAATTTGGGCAACGTTCAGATCAAGACTATCTACAACCTTTTGGATGATAGTGACAATGAAGATCACATCAAGGCAGCTAACAAAATTAAAGCCCCGCTGGAGCATTTTCTTGGGGGTCTTGCGCTACAATTTACTATCGGTTTGACAAATACTCCACTGGAGAGGGGTCTAACTTGGCCGAAACGAGACCCTCTTCTAACTATCTTTGCGCTTTCTTGGCCTTCGCCCTCTACCTGTGATTGTCGAATTTCTGTTGAAAGCGCTGGCTACGGCATGCAAACTTGGATAAGGGAAATGCCTGGCTGGACTGGACTCTTTATCAGGCGTGAATGGGAGGACGACCAGAACTTTGTTCATTGGCCCGTTGAGATTCAGATCGAGATACCGCGCAGAAAAGTTCGAGTTGCTCTTGGAGCAAGTGAATGGCTTCCTGGCGGCGAATGTATGTTTGGCGCATACGGTCGCACTACGAAAACGAGATTTACTGTGCGAGGTGCCGGAGCGTTGAACTATGTATCACATGAATTGATCAATCTCAAGGAGAGCGGCGAATGGACCCTCGAACAACCTGGTCCGCTAAAAGAGTGGCTAGATGATCCACAAATCCCAGCCCTTGCCGATTGAGACTAATGAAAATTATAGAAGTCGGGGAATCATGGCCGGCTTTTCCGAAACTTGCTCGATCTTGTAACCTGAAATAATATAATATAGTAGATACAGAGACTAATTCTTGAAGAAGACTTCAGAGAATCAGGGATCTTCGAGAAAAGTCATTCTATGATCTCTCACGGGCCCTTTTCGCGGTGGAAACGGGGTCGAAATGCGAGCTAAAGCGTCATGGGATCCATTTCACTAAGTGGTGTGGGTAACAATGCCACACCGCTTCGGATGCTAGATCGCATTGTTATAAATACCTGTGACAAACAGATGTAGAAATAAACTCTATCTGTGAAGAAATACTGTAGGGAAGGGGGGCTGGCTGTTGTGCAGGAAGTTGCCTACGACAAGTACCACGTGTTTGCCAATTTCCTGTAAAATACACCATCTATGGTATTGAAGATGTCTTTTAAAGTACGTGGACTATTATCCAAAGCGGTCTAAAATGAAAGTGCTTAAAATAACATCCAATCAGAACTTGCATATTTGAGATTTATTTTTCCGAGAGTCAAGTCCAAAGAGTGTGAGATCAAACTGATTTCGAAAACTACTATATGTTGATTATCTCGTTGATCTATGATGACCAACACGCGAAGAGCGTGGTCAGTTGTGACAATGGCCTTGGAAACAAAATTGTGCCCCGTCAAAGTTGTTTCTATCGGATGAGGGTAGAGAGAAGCACACGATTTTGGAGTTTAGAAATGTCATCGCAGCGCCCGATATGCTTCCACAGAGTGGGATTTTCGGTATGTTGGGTGAATAAATCGCCAGTGCAAAACTCACGGTGATTTGGAAGAACAAGAAAAGTACTGTGCGTGAATCGCCGAGCAGGCCGCGGGATAACCAGTTGAGAGCATTTGTCATCATAGAACCTCATTTCCACTGGATGATTAGGGTTCCATTCGAAGTATTCCCAGTCCTCGCGCTTCAGAGGCTGTAGCGTAGAGAAGTAATCGGTTTCAGTAAGTCCGATATTGTTGCATTGAAATAGAAAACTGAAAGGCAAGATAATCACTCAAGCTTGAATTTAGCCGCTTCTGACTAGTAACTCAAAGGTTCTTCCTCTGTCTGCTGTAACGCCCCTGAAAATACACAAGACCAACTGATGGCAAAGCTGCAGCCATCATTGACCCAATCAGAGTAAAGCTCCATCCCCAGCCCATAGAAGACAGCATATAGTCAATGAACGCCGCAGCTAGGGCGCCCAGCCAACACCGCACTATGTCGGCTATCCCAGAAACTGCCGCAGCCTGATGGGGAAAGAGGTCTATCAATAACGTATACACAATCCCCAACAATGGCGTCCCACATAAGCCAATGAATGCCTGTAAGGTAAGCGAGAAAGCGAGGGGCAGACTTGTGTGCAAAGTCCACCCGTACGCAATAAAGCAGAAACTAGAGACGAGCATATATGGAATTGCAATTTGTAATCTCGCAACTTCAATAGGAAAGTCCGCAGAGAGAGTCTCACTGGGTTGATCAAGGCACGTTTTCTTTTTATATATCCGCCGGTAGTTGAAGTCAATCAACTTTCCACTAATCAGTGAGCCGAAGCCACCTCCGATCCCGTATGGACTAAATTAAAACAAATTTCAGTGAATTGGAAACAGGATAAAATTTTAAATATTTACTGACAGGAATGATAGCCCAGTCTGCAGTGTGTTGAGATTGTATTTCCTGCCGAATTGGTTGGCTGTAGTCGCCCATAACGCGGAGATACCAAAGTAGAGCAGGCTTGTGTACATGATCAGGATTAATGCGTTTCTTTTCCTGAGTATAGCGAAAGCCTTGAAAAGATCTGAGCAGAACTTGCGATCTGTACCTTGCCGATCAGTGTCGTGCAGTGAGCTTTGATGCGTGTCATAAGTAAGTTGAAGACGCATCAACGGTAGTTTTCGCCGCTGCTCTGGACAAGCAGACCCATTTCCCACAATACCATTGGCGGTTTCAGGAATGAACACAAAGTATATCACCAGAAAAACACCACTAATGGCGGCCAGAAACCAGAATATACTCCTCCACCCGAAAGAGTTGGCAAGCAACCCGCCGATAGCAGGGCCAAAGGCAAAAGCACCCATTACACTGCCTTGCATGGGACCTATGTATTTTCCTCTCTTCTCGGAGGACGATATATCTGCCGCAACTGCGAATCCGAATGGAATCGCACAGCTGCTTCCAATACTCTGGAGACAGCGAAGAGAAACCAGCGCAGCGTAGTTGCTTTGTAGTGAGAGGCCAACATTAGCCGTAATATACACAACTAGTGCGATAATCCACGCCATACGACGGCCTTTCATGTCGGAAATTACAGACATGAAAGCTGGTGAAACCCCTTGAATGATCATATATCCTGTCATAACCATGTTTATCTCCGTAGTAGACAAACCATATTCAGCTTTTAGAATAGGTATCACTGGAAGAACAATGTTGGTCGCAATCATACAAATGATCATTCCCAAACTGTTCACAAAAATGATGATTGCTTTTCTGTGATGGTCCTGGAATCCATGTTGTCCACTTTCTGTTCTGATATTTTCTGGCATGTTGTCAATTGGATTGCTGCCATCTGCCTGTGTGGATGTCGACACTGATTCAGCTTCAGCTGCGTCAAAGGTTCTCAGACCATTCTTATCGTTGGACTTGAACATGGTGTCAGAAAGTGGGTAAGTTGATTCGGATGTGAGGAACCAGAGAAAATGCAATTCAATTTCATTTACAATAACTTTCCTTGGAACTTTCACATACACATTCCAAGAACAAAAAGCACTAGTGATTCTTCCAGTAAGGGATAGTAGCATAACCCTGGCCATTCCTCACTGGAGAACTACAGTTTGGTTATCGGACCCGCCTTTCTGGAGGATCTCCGTTATGGACTATTGACCGAGCCCACGCACTGCTCGGCATGAGATGAAAGTTTCTGTTACGCCAACCGTACAGTGAGGTATAGGAAATGTGGAGGTGTCTATCCACCACCGGGGCCGCCTGTTGATACATCACCTCGCTTAACTGCTTGCATACGCGCAGAGGATCCCTCAAAAGGAGGAGCTGGATCTTCTTAGGAAGACCAGCGATTAGTCTGAATATCATCATACCCATATCAGGCATATCTCACATTCTTCACTCGTATCCTTATCGTATCAGGACGCCCTCCGGGGGATGTCCTAACAGTTTCCCTCCCAACCAAGCCAGTGAATAGTTGAAATCCATGAATACCATTACTCAAATAATATAGGCATCATAATTTATCAGTTCCTGAGATCAAATATGCAATGCTATTTTTCTGGGTTCCGATCATTTTCAGGACTGCAAGCGTATTTTATGCAAGGGTGATCATTCCTCAAAGGATGCCCGTAAGGCCCCAGGCCAGATATGAACTCAGAGCTCGTAATTGACAGGGGCACTACTAGAGAATGACCAATAGCGGCACGTTAGTCGTTATTAGCCGTACAGTACACGTACCCAGTCATTTGGCTCCACCCATACTCGTTTGGAGATGCCGATCTCGCCTGCGAAGGTTACACTGCATCTTCAGGCCTTGTTTCCGAACTCCATGATGTTCCTTTCAGCTCAGCCACACTTATTGATGCGAGCTGCAATATACTTTCATGTGTTGATCATCGACTGTGATTCAAACGATCTTATGTCTAATAAACCCATCTCTATTTAGGTGGCTTTGAAGAACATTGTCGAACTGAAGGAGTGGTTAAATACCACTAACACCTTTTAGGATAGGATGTTCATCATCCGCCCAACTCCCCTAGTATTTCCCTAGTATTCGTATGGTATTCGGGATAGACTCGGAGTTATAGTGTCGTAACACACCGCATCGGCATGATACAGACTCTCGAGGGCGTTCAACCGCTCTCATAAACCTTCAATCTATCATCTGATTCTATTAGACTTCTTCAGTACTAGCCAGTACGTCAGTTTTTCATCCTGATAATATCTTATGACCACTTTACTGGGAGCCTATACCCCAATTAATGGGCTGCCTGCGATGAACAACCAGCAATGAAAAGAAATTGAATTCTCGACCGCAATAAAAGCATTGTTGGGCAAGCGCAAACGAACTGGAACTGAAGAGACATGGGTATTCCTTCAACAACACCCAAGTAAACTATTACGCGTATAAACATGATGCATTGCTTTGACTAGTTTTGACACAATGTTTACTGAACTGAGGTGATTTCCAAGCAACCGGAGTAGGTTCGCCGCCAAAGATGAATTTATTGTGCAGCTCTCCTGTTTCCGGTTTAATATGCGTGTCCAACCATCATAATTGAATGTGGATGTTATCTCGAGCAGCCAGAAATGGGGGCGATGAAGAACTCTCGGATGAGGATGATGTCACGCCAGAAATATAAGGAGAGTGCAGATATCTTAGGTCAAAAATTTTAAAACAGTGGTGCTCTACCGTCGTCAAGGTTTTTCATGCGAGTATAACCGAGGGTCTCACCTTTACCATTGCTTTGTTGAACGAGTGAAAGTAGTCTAGGCACATGAAAAATATTAGAAGCATAAAGATATGTTTCCGAAGCGGGTTCATAGATTCCAAGATGATATTCACAATGTTTTTCTTGGAGTTATCCTACGCCCGTGTGGCGACTTGGCGATAAGCTACTCTAACATCGAGTATTGATTTTCAATCTTGCCTTCACAAACATCGGCATTTTCCGCTCCCTTTTGTCTCTCACTTGCCAGTTCACTCTCCAGGTTCCATATAATCCTCTGAAGATTCCAATTCTGCTGCTCCACCTTTTCAATATGCTTCTGCAAGCATCGAGTTTGATTTTGCATCTTGTAGCATTGCGTCTGTACCAGAAAGAACTCCTCGTAGATTCCCTGGATTATATTTTGAACTATTGGGCTTTGACCAGGTACTGTTTCTTCACAAAGGCCGGTAAGCTTAAATCTTTCGTAGTTTTAGGTCACTTGATCACCTGTATAGATGTTTTCAGACGAAGTATCTTTGAGAAAAGCGGCTTGTTTTGGAGGCATTTTGGACTTGTCGGGTTGAATTCGAAATGACTTGGCTCTCGCTGAAGTAGTAGACTGAGCTAAATATCCTCTTTGAAAGACACCTCTTTTATTCGAATATCTGTTAAGAAAATGGGGCTGCTTTATTAAATTGATTATAAGCAGGTTGGGTGACGTCTTTAAATTGCCCAGACTAGGATGATGACCCAGTAGGCTTGGCGGTTTCCGTGCATTATAGCGCTTTAGCTATGTTCAAACTTCGAAGGATTCGTTTGTTCTGTAGCTAGCTAGACCTTGTCCCAGGAGTGATGGCCCCCTTTATGAGATGATCACCCTCCCAAGATACCTAACCCGTGATATTGCATTTTTACTTCCTTCTTGCGGGAGAACTCCACGGGCCCATGAGTAGACTTCATAAGAAGGCGTCTTCTTTCTTCATTCTATCTTGAGTATTTCAATCCTATTTCCAAGTGGCGTAAGTCCATAACATTAGTTACGTCAGAGGCTTCCGGCTATGTGTTGAATGAGCCACGCGAAGAGAAATATCCCTGGCGGGCTTAGGGGCTGACAGGATATTCGGAAATGTACTAACATGAGGAATGGTGGGGATCAAAGAGCTACAATCTTTTTGCCTAGTGAGGCTTGGCTAATTTTTATTGTTCATGTATAATACATTGTGAACCATTACTCAGTCTGTTCTTCAGAAACTAAACGTTTGGCAGGAGCTTCGTTCTTCGCATTCACCTTTCCAGTAAAAACCGAATCGACCCGCGCAATAGAACAACACAAGCTTGCAATCTTATGACCTGCCGAAATCGCAAAAGTACTAAATTCCAGGCCTGTTGATTTAGCCTATTGGATGAAAAGAAATGGTCGCCAAGCTCCCCATAAGAGGCTGTACAATGTCAAATATACACCTTTCCAGGAATTCGATATATCTAATCTTACACTGGTCATTCAAGTAATGAGGAAAGAACAGAAAATGAGCACGCCTAGTACCAACCATCAAACTTGCCCAGTTTTCTGAGGCTAATTCCAAGTAGACACGTGGAGAAATCCATGATATTTCAGGGTAGAACTTTTCGGTTCAATTATGGTCTTAAAGCACCACTCGTGTTAATTCCTGACAGGACTCCTTGGAGCTCCCAGGAAACTTGTGATGGTCTCGTGTATCTGTTTTATGGACGCGTTATTGGGACGAATTATGAATATTGAAAGCTTTCTCACGTCCAGGGGAGCCCAATGCGCCATGTGCGCCCGCTTCTTCCACTTAGCGCGAATCCCTCATCTAGATTCCTGGTAATTCAAGTTCTTGTTTCTGGGAACTGACATACTCTTGTGGGGCATAGAATTTAATTTCTCGACGCTTACGGTGAGCTGCATTGCTGATTGGCCATATTCAAAATAGCCGGGGCCTTTTCAATAGCACCAAAGTCACCTTTTGTTGGCACATATAAGTATTGTCCCCGTAATCTTGAATTTTGATCAAACATCTCCTGAGGGCTAACAAATCTTGGAAACTAAGTCAATACTCCTCGCCCCGAAGAAAATGATTACGGTATCTACAGAACTAGATCAGGTACTTGAAGCTTCTGATTACAGTATAACGATGTCGATCTAAATTATCTCCGAGAAACCTTTCCAGGGAATGAAGCGCATATTTGGAAAGTACTTAATGCTACCCCTGGGCTATTTCTCTCTGGAGGCCTTGAAATACATGACATTCTTGAGCTTCTCGCACAAGGATATGGTCTAAGTGATCTGAAAATAATGGCAGAAATAAGGAAAGTTTACAAAGTGGGCTCTTGCCCTGTTAAACACGATGATGCTTTATCAATCTTGGGTCTTAATGCAAGCGAAAAAGCACAGATACTGAGCCCCCCTGAGCTATGAATGGTCTCAAACGCAACCGGAAGCTTTCGTGTACGGGGATGTGCCGGCTGTAGCCCTGGTCTAGAGCTGAGTTGTACATAAGTTGCTGAGACAAAATGAACCTACATGATCCTGAGGAGAATATGACTTCTCATTAAAGGGTCTTCGAGGATAACAGTCATTTTATGGTGTCATCACCCTCGTAGCCAAGCACTACTGAAAGCCTTACTGGGCCAGCTGGAAGATTACCACCTATTCCGCCGAGGTTCGCATCTTTGGCAGCGTATGCATTATTGAACTTGGTGCCACCAGAGGTAATTGAAGAGCAAGACTCCGTGACTGTATCGCAGATCTTCATACCCTGGATTTGCACATCGGCTGCCTGCGCCGCAATGGCCGAAACATCGAACCCTGACCATCCTGAATTTATGGTCGACCCAAAATCGAACTCACCCCATGTTGAAGCATAACCTCTGAAGTCGTCAGTAGGTATTGTATACCCGGGTGCAGCCGCCCAAGCTCCTTGAGAATTCTCGTCAAAAGCAACATATTGGGTCTTTCCACCATTCAAAGTGAAACTCTCGCAGGCATGACCGTACCAACCATCGAGAAGACCTTCTGGTCCAATTTTATTCCAGATAACCACTGACCACTCTGTAGAGCCAACTGTTTTGAATTCAGCAACATATTTATAGTCACTGAAGTTTTCTGCAGAGACTCTGATAATATTGCTTCCGTAGGGATCGCCTACGTTGCCTTGATAAGTTAACCCAAAGCCAGCTGGCTCGGTAATTCCGCCAAAGCCAGTACTGGAGTATTTTTGTCGATTTGGCACGGAATCTTTGATAGAGGCATCGCTTATTTCGGAAATTGAACTAATATTCCCACAATTCGGCGGCCCTTGACATTGTGACGTGTTCATAGCTGCGTAACATGTAGTTGAAATTATCATTGCCAAGAGCCAATTCGCTGAATGCAAAGTAAAAGCCATTGATTCCACAAATCTCTTCGATGATGTACTTAAAGTAATTCTTCAAGTAACTATAATAATAATCGCAGTTCCCTGGGAAGCCTTGTTGTATTTAAGCCGGCACTTGAACTCTGAACAAGGGATCTAGTCAGTTTCGCTCTTGGCTGGATACCTCAAAAAATTACAATACTTATCATTTTTGTTCTAGTTTGCGTTACCTGGATTCATGGGCTCAAAAAGTGCTTTATATGAGGCTAGAAAAGAACACATTCGAGACGATGGCCTATCCTATCGTTCTTCCAGTACTTGCAATTCTAGTGCTTCATATTTGTCCCCTAATTTTTATTATGATTTTTCTGCCAACGGTGTCCCGAACGAGATCTCAATCAGGTTGCGGTATCCATGTGATTCAGTGGATTACAATATTGTGTGAATTAATAATCCAAGTAAATATTACTCCGTCTCCTGGGAACAGCCCCGGAGTAAATCGACCCTATGTGATTTGACTTGATCCTGGAGACCGATCCTTCGTGGTTCGAATGCCGAATGAAAGAATTTTTTTACACAGAAGCCAGAAAACGCTGAGCGAACCTTGCCATCATCGTTGACTCCACTGTCTTCGGAGTTTTGAACAAGAAACTCGAATCCGAAATTGGCTTCCATATTGTGCACAGGGAAACTATCTCGGATCCTATGACTATTCCGATACTAGAGGCGGCTATACCTTTTTGAGCGTTAATGTGGAGCCTGACCTTGCGTTTTCTTTGCTATAAAGGATTGAGAAATCAAGGAGTTTTCGATAACGATAAACGGAAAGGCAAAAGCAGGCTTATAAGAGAAAAAAATGACGAAGTTATCTTTCATTCAAGCCCCAAATGCGGATCTCTCGAGACAATTTTCCTTTAGAATAGAGCACAGAGCACATGAGTTAATTGCCGGGGCATTCTTCTTTAGTACAGTTTGGTCTTACCTTGAGCCTTAAAATCAAAATAAAATTCATTTGAAAGGATGAGTAGCCCAGATTACCATCTGTGCTCGTGTACACTCGTTGTATCTCTGATTATGTATGTATCTTCAGTTCAACCGCCTTTTCTATCTGAAATTTCCGCGGAGGTTATGGACGAAGAACCCTGGATCAAGACATGGCAACGTAGGCAGGGTGGAGTGCGGCGACATCATGAAGTACTGGGTGAAAGGAAGGGGTTCCAAGCGAGGCCACATCGACAGTCGGAAGCGGGCTGTCTGCGCCGCAGAGCATACTTGGGAGATGATGTCGAGAATCTGCTTGCGCACCCGAGAAAGATTCCCCATCGCAGTCTCAAATCGTGGCAGGAAAAAAAGGTGCTCACCCATCAACTCCTCACTGAGAGAGTCAAATCTTGAAAGACGAAATTCCACCCAGTAGACTTCCTCTGAGAGCAAGAAAGCGGAAAAGTATACAAAAATATCCTCCGCCTTGGTAGACGGAGACAGAGGATCCGGACCTGTCCACAGAAAGCTTTGTTGGGTTTCATGATTCGGATAAAAAACATAGTTGACCAAAGATAGCCCGTAAACCTCAGAGCTGGAGACCCCTGATAGGTCAAAAGGATTTTGCTTCAATCCGCGGCGGTCGGTAGCAAGGCAGGGGGGGTACAGCGGGTACGTTAGAGGACTCCTGCCAAGCTGCGTGGATGTCATCATCGGAAACAAAGTCTGCTTGATGGTAAGTATACGTTTTGGGATGTGTGAAATAGACTTTACCGACCCATTTGAGCCAGATGGTTCATTTCCTCGGAAGTCGATAGGTCTCAAGAGCTGGAGAGAACAGAACCGGACCATTGATGTTAGATTGACGATCTTATGGGCTGAAATGGTGCGAGCAACAGGCCAATTTAACCTTCTTATCAGAGCCAGACATCGTATTAATCAAAGGTCCATTGATACTTCTATTTGAGCAAGATATGGATAGTCACAAGCTCAACGGGAATTAACTCTCGGCTGCATCGACGTCTCAACACTCATCCCCGTTCATCGTAAGAAAAGATCATCTAGCGTCCTCGCTTTCATACATATTCACCAATGTTTGTTGATCACTCAGAGATAATTTTTCTAGTCAAAATTCCGGTCACACGTCCGTAATATCGACACGATTCCATTCTGAACAGCGTGGGCTGCACGCCCACGGTCCCACAGTACCAGGGCCTGCTCATTACAACGCTGCTGTAGAAGACCATTTTCGGCTTTTAGTTCGTCATTGGACAGCGAAAATTGGCGTCATTCGCTCTCGAGTCGGATTTTCTCAGCAGATTTGACAACATAACATTGCCAGAGACATAGGAATAGGTCGAGTAGGTCGAGAGCTGGCCTCGAGATGGAAGACCCCATCCGGAGAATCTGCTTGGCCTCAGTTGGCAAAAGGCTGGCAGCGCCAGTGGTATTCTATTACATGTCAACTAGGCTCCCATTTTGCTACTGGGAAGATCCTGACCTTGAACTCGGTACTTTCATGCCCCGAAGATTCTCGGAATAGGCTATGCAGGTCGGCGGTAGTGTCATCCACACAGTGTTTGGAGAGCTGCCGCTGTCTTTTAGTTGGTCGCTCGGTCGATGAAGAGCGATCTGGTGCGTCCATTTCTTCATGTACGAAGTGAGCTGCATGGGCTGAGTGAAGAGAATCTTCAGAGGGTTCTTATATGCTATCATAGAAGGAGACACGCGAAGCCCAACATGTTCTCCACGCCCGCAATTATCAGCTTCTTACCCGTAATGGAGCTCTATAACGACGCATGTTTCAATCTAAGCCCGTTTGCTATACGCATAAATGAGGATCAACGACAGCGTCGCTCATGAATTGATGCGGAGAAAAAAAGTTCCGTGACAGCGTTTCTCCCCGATTACTGTCGAGCTGTCAACGCCGCGCTCTATGAAGGTTGGCAATATTCTCAATCCATCAAGTTCCTGGCCTTCCACCATCCCATTCCACACGTCATCATTGATCTACACCTCTACCGGCCTTTCAATGCAGTTTGTATCGCCCTGCTGTACAAGTCTTTTGCTGATTTTTGAGAAATCCACCGATTCTCCCGATTCTCCATTTAAATGATGAGGCTGCACTGGTACCTCGACGGCTGCGGAGATCATTGACCTGCTTCTGGATTGCCTGCCGAATTGGACCCTCCTCGGCAAAATGAAGCGATGCCCTCAAACTGTTATGATCCATTCTCCGGTCCTGCAGCAGTATGTTAACGACCACCAAATGTCCGCCTTTTACTGCAAGCAACAAAGGATCCTCGAACCAACGATTCTGGTGGTTGAGATCAGCTTTGGGATGGCGCAGTAAAACTCGCACCATCTCCGAGTCGCCCGCCCGGGCGGCCAGACACAGGGCAGTGTCTTGGACGGTAGCAGTGCTCTGGTTAATTGCCAGAGCCTCGCCCTGCCGGACCAAGAGCTTTACCGCTTCCAAGCGGCCGTTTTCCACCGCTCGACGGAGGGGGGGAATCTGCCAACTCGGTCGCATTGATCTCTAAGCCTCCCTTGTTCAAGAGCATCGCCATCGCATGAGTGCTGCCTTTCGCGGCCGCCGCGGAAAAAGGAGACACCCCTGCCACGCAGAGATTAGGGTCGATGCCAGGGGTTTTGAGAAGCCACCGCAGAACGACTGTGTCACCCCTTGCGTGGTGCAGCGAAGTGGAAGGCGATTGGGTCTGACCACGACCTATGTCGGCGCACGGGTGGCTCAACAGCAATTCCACCACTGCCAGACGCCGACATCGAACAGCGAGGTGGAGTGGAGTATCTCCGTTGTGATCCTGAGCATTCAGGGCCAGCTCCTTCTGCGTCAGAAGTAGCTCGACAGCGCCTGCGGATCCATGGGCTACTGCTTGGTGGAGCGGCAGCTCGCTGTTATCAGTGGTCTGAATACCGGCGGATGGCCTGTGGAAAGAGAGCGGGTGTCTAGCTTCCTGTGGGCCTACAAAAATCCACTTCATGGACGGCCGGCCGATGCGCCATGCCCATGCGCGGGTGACTTGCCAAAGTCATCTGTAGTGAAAGGATCGCTGCCGCTGGAGAGGAGCAGATGCGCCAGGCCTGTTTTGCCCCACCAGACCGCGAGATGGAGGGCCGTTCGTCCTCGCCTGTGCGGGAGGTCAACTTGTAACTTTGGGACCTCCAGCAAACTCTGTACCACAGAACAAGTTCCGTATGTGACAGCATACCATAGCGCGCTTTCTTGCGCCTGGTTTTGGAGGTTGATATTCAGCGTAGGGCTTTCCAGCAGGAGCTGCAATACGTCATGGGATGAGTACTTGAGAGCCCTCATCACCGGGGTCTTCCCTCGAAAGAACGCGTTGACGTCTGCTTTGCGTTGCAGAAGTCTTTCGGCGAGGTCAATATCGTTGTTCATGGCAGCGAGGCCGAGCAAATTGCTGTTTTGACATTCGACGTTGATTGCAAGTATGGCCGGCTGTAGCCTGGTTCTGAGATTTCGACATGATCTCGCAAGAGCAAATATCTCGCTGTTCTCGAGATATGCTGTAACTCTGTATAAGATTGGATTTGGTAGACCTCGCAAATGGGGCTGCTTCTAGTTTAGTATGTAGTTGCCAACGTAAAGTACATCCGTTACGAACCATAATTAATATTGGGATGGCGAGCAAGGATAAGGCAATAAATTCGCGCGTAGAGTTATAATGGCCCCGTGAAAAGAGCGGCCAGACAAGTTTATATCGTTCGTCGTGCCACTAACACAATCATCGTGTCGAATCTATCAAGGCAGCTCCTACTACAAGAATGCGTTGCGAAGAATGGAAGTTTCGCAAAGCGGATTGTAAGAGTAGCACTGCTCATGCCCCCAGGATTGCATTCACAGTTCCTAGGGGAGCCAGGTTCCGGGGAGCCCCCCGCGTATTTCCAGGCACTGCCTTCAAGCCACAATGGGACTGGTGCTTGAGGCAATGCACTCTAGATGCAATGAGACTACAGAGGAGCGTTCAATGTGAATCTTGGTCCGGATTCCTGCCCTTGGTCTTATTTGACTGGGTGTGAAGGTTCATCATTATGCCGTTCCGAAAGCAACTAGTCGAGGTTCTGTCCAAATAGACCAAGCCGACTATACGTCCCGTTCGTCCGCTATACGAAACACCCTCACCCATATGGGCCCTATCATTTAATCTAACAACATTTTGTTCCGTTTGACTTTTCTATCTTTCTCTAAGGCCAAGAATCCTTGCATGTGTGATTTCTGTTGGGTGGGTGAAATTCAGTCAATCGGTCATTTGACTCGTCTGAATGGCCGATTCTCTGTGATCTTGCTAATTTGGTCTCAAGCACCAGGATATACCAAGAACTTACATTGATGAACTTTGTCCCGTTGGCTCTAGGCTGATAAGAGGGAATATTGGCCAGCACACAGGACCAAATAGTCAATATGCAGCCTATCATGGCCATCTACTCCGTGTCAAAGTGCGCCATAGCTCTCCTTAATCGTCATGTTGTTCTAGGACAGCGGATGTTACTAGGACAGCGGATGTTTAGGACAGCGGAACGCGATAGCAATGCGAGAGTGATAAAAGATGCGACTTGCTCAGTCCATATACTTCTGTCTTTTGCTCGTCGACTTTTGAGCAGATGGAACTGTTTTCCTCTTGTTCATCGGCAGGCCCGAACAGTCGATTGGCCCGTGCCTGTGTTGGACATCACCGAAAGGCTGATCCCCGACGACAACGGAGGGTCCAATCTCCGCCATTGCTAGGGGGTACATAGGCTCCGATATTAGACCGTACAATGCAGACCTTTCGTTGAGTGAAACCATCGCGTAGTAACTTTTGAATTCATCCAAGTCTGCGAACAGGCATTGTTTGGTCCGCTGCGGAACGAACTGCTGACGGCACCCGCAGACTGCAAGGTCCGACGAGTCCAGGACTATAGGCAAGTATCACAATTAACTGTCAGCCCTAAGCGACGATCGATCGAGGCTTACCTGGGTTCGGATGCAGGAGCTCCTGCTTCATGCTGATACAGCTTTCCTCGTGTAGTATCACATGATACGCCGCCCCATCGAGACCATGCTTCCGAAACAGCTCTGTCTCATTATCCTCCCAAGCAACCGTCAAGCCACCCTCCGAGGGCGTCAAAGTGATCTGGTGTGGCATGTACCGGAGTAGACGTCGGATATGGCGCTTATATCTCATCTCAGTGGTCCGAGGGGTCTGAGAGCCTCCAAACACCGACGAGATGGAAAGAGATAAAAGCTCCTCAATGATGTGGCCGCAAACGAAGGGTTCGCGCTTTCCGCTTTCCTTATTCGCACTGCGAAGAATCCAGTTGCGGCACGATGTTCGCTGATGTGTATCGTCAAAGTCCAGCCATCGGCGGTGGACCTTCAGTGTCCTTTGTTGAGGATTATACACAACATCCGCCCTACTATCGAACCCCTTGACGTAAACCACTTGAATCTCCTGCATCGAATACAGCAAGGCAAAACATGCTCTCAGTGCCTTCCGCACGGTTCTCGAAAAGGTGGTATCTGGGGGGGCTACAGGCCTCGGCATTTTAGAAAAGCATTGAAAGTTCTTCCGCAGCACTGCGGATAGGCGTAGTCGACCGCAGTAGGCGCCACAATTCTCGTGACAGCCTCATGGGCCTTTTTCCAATGGTCTCTCGTATCATCTTGACATCCTAGATTTGCGTTGGCCTGTGACAAGGGATACGGATATTGGACTTCCGACAAACCTGGGCTCCGGATGTTTCGCAATAGAAAAAGTCCTTACCCTTGGACTCGTGTAGCAAATAGGTCCAGATGCGGGATATCGTCGAGGGTAAGAGCAAATCAGCAGCCAGATTAACGTCCATCAGCGCTGGTGTCTTTCGGAGGAGGCTCACGTATATCGGAAGAAGGACGTCCTCGTGCGTTTGAAGGGCGGACTCCCAGATCCGGCACACTCGCTCTGCCAGTCCATGCCGGTCCATGAGCCATCGCCGATCGCGATTAAATTTACCCTCTGTAAAGTTATAACCAAGTTTGAACGGGTAAATCGAGTTTGTTCCAGAGATTAGCACACCGTGGGCATAAATCCTACCAAGGAGATTTTGGTCAAAAAGCAGGTCCCCGTGGCTTGTCTCGACAACCGAGGACGGGTACGCGAGGCCACGAATATCCAACGATATTTGCAGCCACTCAAGAAATTCTTCAGGTGCCACCGGCCGACCCTGGGTGGTGCGTCCAGGGCCGATGAGCACGGCCACATCTCGCTCGGGGTGGAAGCGCAGTCCGGCAATATCTTCGGCCTAGTCCGTCCGGGTGGACCCAGATTGGCGCGATGGGGTAATGATGCAATGGAGGGCGAGACTTGCATGGCTCCCGCAATAAAAATTCCAGGAACACCGGCTGGCCGCCACTTGCAACCTATACCCATCCCGAGACAGAGCCACAATTTCCAGCTTGAGTCCGTCGCCGTGGGAACCCGCCAGTTGGTTCTGGTCGCTCTTGGTCGTGACGCCCAACTCGAGAGCCTCAAAGGGCAATTGCAGGCAGGCGTTCGCCAAAGTGACCCGACTGGACTTTTTGTCATACTTGATGAATCCCAGGGATCGGCGGCCCTCGGGGTCCGCGGGGTCTGGTACCAAGACGGCGTAATGATCGCAGGCGTCGACGAAGTATGGCCGGAAGGCGATTCGATCGATCTGGAACCGTTCCAATATGGCGTCCTTCCTGTTTTATGATTCAGTCTCATGATCCGACAAGACGACAGACACATACCAATTCTGATATAGTTCCCGAAAGGCATCGGCAGAGGTCCAGTGACTCACGTAATGAGGAGAAACGCCGAGCGAGGCAATTCGCCGCGAATGCGCAGCAGTTGGGGATGATCCTTTCTGGCACTGAAGAAGTTCGCGTTCAAGTTGCTGATTCGCGTCAATCATCTCGCGGCTATCGTCACTGGAGTCAATTTCCATGCGGTCGGCCATCCTTTTGCAGGGGGGTAGGTGTTCCTGAGAAACTAGGCTCTTTGTCGGCTATTTATATTCCGTCCGTCTGTAAGCCTAGCGCATAGCTCTGGTACGGTAATGCATGGCCAACTAGATAACGGTAACTAACGTCGTGATATCAAGATAGAGCAAAGCAAAGGATCTTAATGGGAGAACGATGGTCAACCACCACCAATCCTGCGGCTGACTGCGCCTTCCCTTCCACCTAGGTGTGTGTATCATCATGGGCCGTGCCACAGATTTTCCATCGCCGCCTGGCTTCAAGATGGTATGAGAATTTTGATCATATATTGATGTCTTCAGTCATGGCCTTGCGATGATTTTGCATCGTCGACAGTTGGTGCTCAACACTACGCAACAGTTACACCCAAGTTGTCGACAAGAATCAATATCTTTACAGAATTGGGGTGTGCATCAATTAAGTTCAAATCACCTTGCTGAGATGAGTTCACGGCACGCTGTTTCTGGCCGACTCTGCAGACTGACCGCGGTGGTACTCGTTTCACCCGCGTCACCAACGTTGACGAGGCAAATGATTTGTCACGAGTCATCTGGGCCAACCAGGGGCCTCTAGTGGGTCAGCGCTTTCCGTGATTCAACCATCTTAATGCCCAGTGATGGTCCCTGCCAACACATTGCAGAATTACTTTTGCTTATTCTTAGAACTTAGCATTATGTTCCTCACCCGTCATCACATATCTTCAACCTTAAGCTACTGAGTACTACCGCACGCCCATGATTCTATAAATTGAGATGATCTCCGCCTTGCTTGAAATATCCAAGTCAATTGTGGCACTTCATTTTAAAAATGCCAGAGAAAAGAGAGGAAAGTGACAATGAGATCCTCGAGGTCCTATCCAGTTACGGAGACCTGAATATTGAAGAGACGGATAACGATTCTACTTCTACAGAAGGTGACATGTCGGAAACCAGCGAGGATCGCAGATTTGTGGCATCAGAGAGCGATGATGCCACATATTCCGACGAAGAGTCGCTAGGATCCAGTCTTCCCTGTATACACCACCTCATGGATGGTCAGGAGACATCGAGCACTGTAAGTATGCCCGTGGGATTTCTTTGGGCTGCCGAGCTAACGGGAGTAACCAGGTCGGCAAAAAGATACCGATTAGCGCCATTGCCTCTCGCTTGATCACGGAAGATGGAATTTCAGCGGTACAGTATTTGGTCTTGTGGCAATCGTGGGAGCGCGAGATGCCGCATGAGTATGATGTGAGCGAGGATCTGTCTTCTTCGCCAAGGTCATGTATCTAATACGAGAAAGTTTTGGATGCCGTCTCATTATTTAATATCGAATGCTCACCACCAGCCTTCTATGCAATACCGAGACGAATACTCAGATTGAAGTCAGTTTCATCTAACTGGATGGCAAGTCGGTCTGTCTCGCGTTTTCTTCGGAGCAGGTTACCGATGGATAAAGTGCCTCGCCAGGGGTTCAAAGATCAGGTGTATTTGCTTCGGAGCTCAACTTCTTTTCTTCAAAATTCTATCATCCCTAGCACTGCAGTACTGTAACTACTATAACAACACTGTAGTTCTGTCCAGGGACCTTAAACCCCATCGAAAACATTTGAAATATTGCGTATGCGGAATTCATATTTGCACGAGTGTTGTGAGTCCCGGAAAAGCCATACTTTGGAGAACTCTTTACGTCCGGTCCATAATTATGAACTTGGAAATACGCCTATCTGGCTCTGTTACACAACTTAAAAATTTTCAAATCAAGGACGTCTGCATCGAAAGTTTTCTAAAATCTTATCTTTCCGCAACATTAAGCAAAAAATGACTTCTTTTTTGGACAAGAAATGGCCCTCACTAGACACAGTAGCGTATCGTGTCTTCCTGCTCATCTGAGTATCTATATGTGACACGATTCCTTCTGTATAATCTATACTGATCATCATTTATACAAGATGACTGATATGAAATGGTACTGGTATCAACAAAGGAGAACGAGCTGCAGGTGCCGTTTCTTTCGAGCGAGCCTGAGCAGTGAATTTCCAGACTTTGGCCACTGTCAAGATTGAAATTGCGAGCCTATCAATGGGAAAAGCAAGGTGTACCCCAGAGTTCCAGCCATAATCGATCCCATTGTGGCGTATAAGCCCCATGAGGTCTTGAGCCAGAATGTTCCTTGGCTCTCAGCTGCCAGTGTAGTAGCCGTTTCTGTTCCTGATGGCAGCTTCATGGGAGATGTGACCATAACTTGCTGGGTGGAGATTGAAGAGCTTAGTGCACCTGTTGTAGTTGATATCGCGGACATGACTGGTATTGCCATCCAGTTGAGGTCTTTCGGGGCTAGTGTGGCGCGAACCGAAATCTTGTTGGTAGCATAGCAGGATGCATAAGTTGTTCCGGTAATATGACACGACAGGGACGCGGTGCTGCAATGATTCATTAATATCAAAAATTCTTTGAGTGTATATAGGGTACCAACCTATTCTTTTTGTCGACATCCACCAGCTGTACGGAGTCCTTCTTAAGGATAGCCGTCATTCCTGCTTCAGAAACGCCGCAGTCAGATGCAGCGACGGTTTGAGGGCAAGTCACAAGGAAAATTGTCGCCTCATCATCCTAGAATGTAGTTAAAAGTTATGTCAGAGCCCTGAATCCCAATGTCTCGGCAGTTCTCACATACGGTAGATAATATGCTCGCTTCCAATTCACGCCCTTGAAATCCCGGCAGTAGGAGGCTGACTGTTTGTCCGAGAATTGTTGCAGCTGCTCCAAAAAGGAAAATGCAGTAAGTGAGTAACATATTCATTCAGATTGTGGCCGTCTCAAGCTTCGGAAGATGACTGTTTCAAGTTCGGACACTCAATCTGTCAAATCAGAGGCTTGATATGCTCCCGATAGCTGGGATGACGGACTATTGTATTATGACTGTGAAACCTTGATTTTTTTCAGCAGGAACCACGCGAAATCCTAAAGAATTCTCTTGATAGACGAGAAAACCAGAATCTATCAGCAAAGTACTGTGGGAAACGTTTGTGGTTACCTGGGAAGATTCTGTTGATGACCTCAAACGACCGGTAATTAAAAGCTGTTGTGACTAGAAACACCGCTTTGGGGGTCTGTGAGGCTTTTTTTTTCAGAACCTCTTTGATAATTTTCATAGAATTTTTGAGATTCTATCTGGCAAGTTGGGTACCCTTGAGCGGCCGCAAAATTGCGAAAGGAGCGGTACATCCGTAGCCAAAGAGCGCATAAAACTTCTACCGATGATTGTCTCTTAAAGTTGATAGCCAAAGTTATTGTATCAATTTTATGGGAACAATGAAATCTTGCGGCCTGTTAGCTATTGATAAGTGAATAGATTCCCATTTATTCCACGACAAATCATCACAAAAAAGTCTTTTGCAGATACGTTCGGCATGAGTTCTTTGGCCAAGTCAAGATTTTGATGGCTATGTAAAATCTATCGGAAATGGAGTATGCTCGAAATCTCCTGCAGCTTTATTCGAAACGAGCTATAAGTAGTTTCGCGCGTGTCGCAAAATGCCTGGTTTGAAGAGCAAGACAGATCCTGGTCTGCTGAAGACACCCCATCTCCAGAAGCGAAAGAGACATGTATCGTTTGTTTATTTATTCTACTCTTATCTCGACGGTCTTTGGCGGAATGTTTCAGATCATTGACCATAATAATCAATGTTTTGTGTATTCTACGGGGAACTTCGACTGCACCGGGATCTCGGAGTCGTTCGCGCCTCTTGATGGCATATCATGTTCCAGTAAGTAACACGATCCATTCCCGAGGAGAAATTTTTCTGACATCTTTGAGACCTCAACCCAGAAACCAAAGGCACACACTCTAATTCATCGTCGTTTAAAGCCATACTATGTGACTCTGATCAGGGTACCGCATGGGTTGAGGTACATCGAAGCGGCTTGATCAACTTCCATAATGAAGAAGGGGATGCGGCAAGTTGCAAGGTCTTGGATCCCCTGGTTAAGGGAAGCTTGTGTACCGCCAGCAATAAAGCAAAGACTTCGACAAAAGGCATTGAATACCAACTGACTTCTTTGTCTACCACAACCATCCATGTGTCAGTGACGGCACCATCGGCGGCCCCGACTACTCCCTCGGGCCCAAACAGCTCTTCGAACACGACAGATTGCTGAACGAAAACTTGTTTGATTTTTAAAGCTTTTGCCTGGCTACTTTACTTCTGTTCTATCAATCAGGTCTACCATTTGGCTATGGAGCCCTAAGCCCAGCACGGGTCTTTTCTTGCACCTCGCTGCCCAGGTCTCCGATTCACAATTTACAAGCAGTCTACCTTTTTAGCACAAAAATGAGATGAAATGGAATAAAATAAAACAAAAATTCGTTGCATGCCTCCTGAAGCTTATATGAGAGTCCTGCTCCTATTGAGATAACACGAATATTCAACCCAATGGATCTGACAAAAGGGAGGCAGAGTTTCAAAGCACAAACTGGTTCATTGGTGTCTAATTTAATGTTGTTCTCTTCTTTTACTATAACTTCTGGGCAATAGGTCAATCATTTATTCATTACCACTACATTTATCGGGATGGGCAACCTCTTTTTCCAGGGAATGGTTGTAGAAATCGCTAAATTGACAGCATGGCTAGTATATCAATATTAACTGTAAGCATTACACGCCAATTACATTAAAATCCGGCTATACATTATTTATTTGCATTCGGCAACAGGCGAGGAAAATCTTTTTGGAAGCGAAAGCAATCCATCTCACATCTTGGGGGAAATTTTTCATACTTTAAGGCGGCCGGGACCTCACACGCAAGCCATGCAATGGAATGGGTGGTCATGGCGGAACATAAATATCATCTTCTAGGTTAAAGGCTTGGATCCTCTCGATTGTCGAAAGCCGGCCAGCCCTCCAATGTCAATTGACCGCGAAAACCTAGGGTCGTAGGCAGGAGTCGTATTGTCCAAGGTTGCTACATAGCGGTTGCGACCGCTCATTTTGGCATGA